TAATAATGCTATGTTAAGTAATAATGCTATGGTTAAGTACTTACTATAGAGAGTGAATGCAGATTGTAACAATCACACCTGTATGGAAACATGGCAACAAAAGACGTCTCCTTTCACTGTACAGATATGCTGCTCCCCCACTTGTCAAGAGTCATTCAGTATGTTCCGGTGGGAATTACTACAGCCTTCTACTTCAGTGCTAGTTTGGTTAGTTAGTTTGGGTTGTTTTGAGCCAGATAGGGAAAAAGATGAGCAAGTCCTTACTGATTCAGGAAGAAGAATATCTGGTCTCGTTTTCTCCTTTTTAGGAAAATGAATTCCCTTATAACCTCCTTCCTCATGTGTATGATTTTAACAGGTAACCTTTCTCATGGCTGTTTCAGCCCTGATATTTCAAAAACCATTTTTAATAGAAAAACAAAGAATTGCTACCCAAACACTTCTCTTCCCAAAACAAAACGCTGCTCTCTAGTGGAAGATGCTGATATGATCTCATTAGAAAAAATGTTTGAAAAATCTTCATTTTCATTTGAACAGTTACAGGAAACCTTAATTAATTTTCACAAGCACTGACATATAAGAGTAGTGGGGCTGGTTTGTTCTGTTTCAGTCTTTCGGATAGTCCTGTGACATTTTGGTATTTATTCCTCAAGATAAATTTGCTATGCGTTTATATCGCTAACACAATCGCATCCAAATAACCTGCCAAGTATTTGTACATTAAAATGAAAACATGTGTTCTAATTTGATCCCTTTTAATTTTTCTGTTCTTAGACAATATAAAAAACGGGCTATCTTTTCTAATTTTCTTCCTTTTTTTTCCACATATTTAATTACTGACAGACTTTCTTAGGTCTGACTGAACACATAGCTTCAGCTAGCCCTTTCTGAAGACACAACATTGATCAGTTACATTCACAGAAAAAATTACTATGAAAATCTTTACCCTGTTGCTGTGGGTTTCTAAAGCCATGTGTCTGCAACATAGTGCTAGGAAATTGAGGAATGCAGTTGCAATCGTTCCTTCAGCTTATACTGAAATAGTGACAAGTATCAAATTACTGTTAAAAAACTCCAATCAAGGAGTATTTGTCCTGGAGAATCAAATTTAATCCTGCCTGTAGTTACTTTATAAAATGCAGCTTTCTTTTGCTTTCCTACTTTTTAAGGCACAGTTAAAGCAAAAATACCAAAACAGCCCTCCATACTAAATTTCTTCAAGTTACAGACCAAAGAGGCACAAATCTAGACTTACTCTCAGCTTCCCATGTTCATAACAGGAAACCTGTCTAGCATGTGCTCCTGTTTTCTTATCTCGCTGCAGATATGCAGAGACATGTGTGAAGTAGTTTCCTCATAAACATACTAAGAAAGTACTCTCTTACTTTTCTTTTTTAAATTAAGTACCTTTGAAAAAATTGGTTTCTAGGTCTATTAATTAATTTTTAACTACAGTTTTTGTCTGCATACTTCTCCCACTTGAAGTACTCTTCCCATCAAATCCAAATACTATGGGGAGAGAACAGTAATTTGTCAAAGGATAGAGGTTAAGCAGTCGGTTAATTAGACTGCTAATTAATGTAAACCTCTTCTGTAAAAATGACAACCCTGTCAGGTCTGTTTCAAGTCTTCTGTCAAAATCATGTAGGTTACGTACACTGTAGAGTAATATTATACAGGCTTGGAAAAGAACTCCAGCTTCACTTCATCCAGCAGCAATTGATGCTGCACACGAAGTTAATGACCCCTGAACGTGTGCTTGTCTTTCCTGAACATTCTTAGCTGCATCTTGCCGTCCATAGGGCTGCCCCAGACGTCTGTTGCACAGCAAATACATCACCCTCCTGCAATAGCCTGAAGAAGCAGATCTTCACATAGCTTCTCCATCCGATTTCTTCATTGTCCTGCCTGCTTTCACGTACACTTCTGCTCATGATCTGCTCTTCTTCCATTGCTGGAAAGATGCTGCCCTCACTGCCAATCTCAGTTCCCTTGCTCTGAACACCCAACTAGCAGGTTGTTTTCTGTGTTCCAATCTGAGGGACCCAAGGTGGGTTTTCATTTGTTTGTTTTTAGGGCAAAGAGAGACATACAAAAGCTACCCCAACTCCAAGGATCTGCTGCTGTATTTTTAGTAGTAACTATTTAAGCCATTCCTGTTGATACACAGAAATGTATGGATGGAAGGAGTTTTTTAACCCACTCCACATAAAAATCCAGAACTACTGATCTTAAAGAATAGGAATGAACAATGTATCTGCTGCCATTTAGTTAAGATTGAGGCAGAAAACAGTTTTAGTGCAAGTCACACAGTAAAGCAATATTTTCAGTAGGTCTCATGGAGGAAGGAAAAAAAATAAATCCAGGATCAGTTTATAAATAATGACCCATGGAGGAGTTTCAAAGCCTGACAGTTGAGGACAAGTTCACATGTGTTTTAAAATGGATGAAAAATATGGAGAAAATGAGAAAGCAGGATACAGATATTCACAACTAACTTCATGAATTTTGGTAGCCAGTTCTTGCTTACTTCAACACATGCCACCAATAGCAGCTATCTGAACTGGAGCTCCCATCTGAGGCACCCACTTGCAGCTGGTGTTGCTGCCTGCCTGCTGCACCATTCATGGCCTAGGGGGTTACTTCATGTTAGTTCATACTTGAGATTCTTCAGCAAGCCGACTATTCCAAGTTCAGTGCCGATGCTCTACAGGAGCTGGAGGTGTACAATTTTAAGGGCATCTAGTGATTAATTACAATGATAGTACCTACCTGTTCCCATAACCTAAGTGCTACAGATTTTAGCGTTAACTTTGTGTTTTTACTGTAGTAAGTCCAGAAACACTTTTGAGACGTCATAAATGAATCTGTGATGCTTTCCCACACAAAGACATTTTGGCTGTCTGGGATATTCTGCTCCCTAGTGGTTTTCAGAAATGAAATTATTGCTTGAAAATCTACATGTAACTTAGTAGTTAATTTCACTCAGCATAATAGAGGAAAATGTGCAAAACAGTATTTGTTTCTTAAAAATGAAACCTGCAGTAAGGCTAAGAAAATGAATGAAATTTTAAGAAATATGCTGAAGTGTCATTCTTTGACCATTAAAACTGACCCTTAAAACAAGCAGCTTATGAGTGAAAGCCCACAGCTAATTTGTTTACTGACTGTACAGAAAGCCCAAACAATAATTACTAATTGAGAGTGCTCTTGTAAACAATCTATGTTTGGCTGAAATACTTACGAAGCACGTAGCCTGCTTAGAGGGCAATAGGTGTTTACATTTACTTTAAGCAAGAAAGTTTTTATATTACATATGATTTGTCAGTACCTGAGATTTAATTCTCAAGAATTCTGAACTGTCTTAATAAGCAAGAAAATGAGGAAATGGAGGTTAGGTCATCCGTATATTAATTATGTACAAATAGAATGCATCAATACACAAATACAAGGTTTACATTTATTATCTTTGTCTCTTTTTATTGTCATATTCAAGACAATGATAACAGACATAATTTACTGAATACTTTTAGCACATACAAGAGAAAAAACCCACCATTTAAATAGCTTCACTCTATTAAAAAAAAAAAAAAAGGAACGAAAGAGATGGTTACTCAATTCAGTACAAACTCAACCCATTTCAGAAAAGCCAAACCTCTAAACAGACAATTCAGCAAGTGGCAATCTCACTGAGATCAAAATAAAAATAATATATGCTGAAATTTCTATTGTTAAGATGGAGACAACAAAATATTTATGGTTTTTAGAGCAGATGCTAAATGCATTACATTCTCAGTCATTACCCTGCCAAAATCTAGGCAAAAACGTACCTTAGCATCTCATTGAAAATACAAAATAATTTGAGTATAGCTATGTTGAATTTCACATCAGATTTTCTCTGCAGGAAGGAAGACACAGAAAATAAACACAGTGGCACCTTAAGACTTAAAACAACAAATTACATTCTCTGAATGTAGTCTTGCCCTTTTCTTTTGGTTGCTACATAAAGATGAATGGCAGCACAAACTTGTTCATTTTCACATGAAAATCACATAAGCACTCAGCAGCCTGCTTTTACTGTATGAGTGCACAACTTCATCTCTTCACTATGTGTTTTGTTTCTCTCTAACCCTGACCTATGCTATGAGCACACTGAATGTCAGAACAGTGCTGAGAAGAAAACACTAAGATACTTCCCCTCTATAGCACCACAGTAAATTTAAACATACTATACTGCAATAATTTAAGATCTGTATTAATTCTGAAAACTGCTCTAGTAGGCTAAAGATTAAAATAATTTGAAATTATTTCATGGCACTGTATGAAGACAGCTTCTCTTTCTATTTCTACTTTATATATTAAAATAAAACCTTGTTGTTCAGCTGATCCTGCTCAATTGTAAAACTTCGCCAAAACTAAGACTGCTGTAAATGACAGATTCCAGCAGTTAAACAGCTGCTATAATAGGAGAAGCTATTTACTATTTCAACTGTTATTGTAACAGTCTTTTCAGAGTTTAGTAGCAGCTTTACAATCTGCAGCTTCCTGCAGGTATGTCTCAAAGCAGAATTCCTGGGGAGGAAGACCACTTACTGGATAAAGATGTGGGATACAAGAAAAAGCAATAAAGAAAAAAACACAACCAAAACCAACCGAAACGACAAGCAGAGAACAAGCATTTCCAACACTTTCAACAGCACTCTGTAAGTTTAAAACCCAGTAAGAATTAATTAGACACACAGTTCAGCTTCCTGCAATTTCTAACAGCCTCATATTGACCTCTGCAGCTCCTGTTATAGGCCATTTCCACATTGCACTCTGTGCAAGCTCACTCAACAGTCTTGCTATTTCGCTTTTGTTTGGGTTGTTTGTTTTTTTTAACCAACTCTGAATACTCACGTCTAATACTGAGTCAAAATCAATTTCCACCCATTAACGCAGTGATCCAATTCTAGCACTTGAAAGAATTTCATCAGTTGAAATCCACTTGAAATTCATTTCCACTAACAGGTGGTAAACTGTGCTGTTCTTTTGAGAGTGTTTCACTTACCAATTCACAGTTAGAGACACACAGAACTGATAATACACATTTCTTAATGTATGTTTTCTGACTATTTCTTGTTTTGCTATCTTCTATTATGTCCAACTGCTATGTAACAATGGGAATATGAAAATCACTATTATCAAATATCAGGGGCCTCCTGGGAGGGGTTGATTCTTTGTCCGCTTTGTGCAACAGCTTAAAAAGTCCTGTTCCAATATTCATTGGAATTCCCATGATGATGCACTCAGAAACACCTAGGAAAAAACAACAAACATGCTGAACATCCAAAAATCATGGATTTACAAAACTATTTTCATTTGCCTGTTCTGTATGTCTTGCCTATTAAATCTCCTTGAACCTGACACATAAACTCCAGGGACTCTTTACCAGATAAATGTTATGGTCATCAGATCAGTATGTTATTTACATTCTAGACAGGAAAAATTCAATGGAAACTAAACTCCTGATCTAGCAATGGGAGAGCTTCAGAAGATCTGTTTTTGGAGAAGACACATTCCGCTCAAGGCAAACAGCAGAACACGTAAGGCAAAGTTACTTCATGCTCATTCTCTGACCCAGTGCTAAGAAACACAGAATCACAGAATCAGTCACATCTGGCCAAGTGCCCTTGAAAGCCCTACACCTTCCCAGTGACAGAGGCATACCCCTGCTTTACCTATACTGCTTTTTGTATCTTCATGATTATAAAAGTTCTTGTCTTGAGTTTAAAGATCTAGTCTGTCCCAGCTATTTCTGACAGCTGTACCATTTTCACATCAAGATGCCAACACATTAATATTCCTGATCTACTGATGTACTCAACTCTTCTAAGGAATGTTCCACATTAAAAGAAAACTATCAGATACCACTGGATTTTTTTCCTTGGCATACTGTTAAAATCCAAATGACACTATGACACATCCTCAGGAGTACAAGAATATTTGTCTTTCACTCAAGTGTTTAAGAAAGTAACAATAAATATCTGTACATTTGATCACACAAAGGTTAAAAATAAATTTGCTTAAAATTCTGGCAATATTTGACTGGTTATTTAAATATGTATGAATGAAGATTCTGTATTTTTGTTCTTAGACCACTGCTGAATATCTACTATGTATGTACTAACACTGTGCACTTAAAAACCTTGTACAAAATAAAATTCTTAGAAGTTAATGTATATTTCACAGCCCACTACTTTGTAGAACTCCTATAGCACAGAGGTTACAACTGATAAAAGAAATAACCTTTCGAACACCTAGCAGAATTAGCTCATTTTGCACAATAACTTTTCAACCTGAGCCAATCACTGAACCATGGAAACTGCATTTCATTTTGGGAATCCTTCCTCTCTTACAATACTTCCATGTGTATAACCAGAGGCCTTTCTCTCATCTCCCTTTTGCCTCATGGGCAAAGTAGTAGATTGCAGCATCTGACAGCAGTTACGTATAGCAGGAAACATTCAGGCAGAACACGCCACTAACAACCAAGTGTACGTTACATATCTGCTGAGACTGATGTATACTAGAGACCAAGGACAGTAATATCAGATGGGTGAAGATAACGATGTAATTGACAGAAGAACAGCCACAACACTACACTCTGTTCTAATGACCATCCAAGCCTCCTCCAGTGCATAGCCTTGTTAACGCTACCAGTTGTAATCTACTGCAGATTTAAGCATCTGGCTGACAGCTAGGAACTGCTGCTCTCACTTTCAGCTGGAAGAAGCTATGTAGACATGAAGCCAGTCATACTGCTCTTACTGAAGAATTTTTGGCACTTCCCTTCCACACCACCTGCTCATAAATGAACATCACAGCAGTGATCTGTACCTCTCAGTTACCACTCCTAAGTTTGAATAAGAGTGCTGTTGGCTGCTTTTTGGAGAGGGGACAGGCAAGTAAACTGACTGTATCTCTAAGCACTGGCTCGCACACAGTAGCACTTCCTGCAGATCCTGCTTCCAGAATCCAGTGGATGCTGCTGAAAACGGATGTACTCCTCTAGTTTCAATCCACTCCACCCACTGAAAAGTGGCATCAGCAATTCTCAACAGAAAATGCTTGTCTTTATGTAGGTAAAGCAAGAAACAGCTGTTCCCCATTCTCTCCCGATGGGGGGAACACATCTTTCAAGATAAAAGGGATTCAAAGGCTACATGGTCTAAAACTACACCCACACATTCAGGAGAAGTACTGATTTGAGATGTCATTCAGTGCAGCACCTAAAGTAGTTATCTTGGGTAAATATTAATCTTTCTTGGCAACGTTCATAATTTTTTCGTGCTCTTGAGATGCAAAGCCATGACTGTGTCAAAGGCTTTTATACCAATTCAAAGAGATAACTAGCAATGGCCAGGTCAGGCAACTGCACAGCACTTTTTCATACAAGCAAGCCAATATTATCTCTTTAGTTTTGGAAGACAGACAATGATTTTCTGTTTTGTCCATTCTATTTCCTCATTTGAACTAAAATATTTATATATAAGGCAACAAGAAAAGATCTTTGCTTTCCACATTATTCAAAACCAGATTTTACCAGCTCAGAGGGGACTTTGAGAAAACATTTTCTTTTCCTTAGTTTCTCCTATAGGATCTTTGCTTTAATCATGGACAAATAAAACTAAAAGAAATCCCACTAATGTGGAATGCTGGACAGACAGAAAGTGGCAGAGTTCTTAAAATACAAGCTGGTAATACAAACATTTCTAACAGATTCCACCAATTCAGTAAATATAAGGTCCATAAGGCACATTTTGAAATTGACTACACTCTCTAAGATCACCCAGAAATACATACAAACTAGTAAACCTTAGCATAACACATTCATATTTTTATACCTCATTAGCACCCAGAAACTACAAATGAGCAGTTACAGCTCCAGGATGGTAGGTCTCACATAAACAGAAGAAGCAGCAGAGGGTGAAACCTGCTCAACTTCTCCTTTTCTCTGCTTAACCTACTAGACAGAGACTTTTTACAAAATCATTCCAAAATGTAGATAGCTTAAAGGATAATGAAATCTGGGAAGAATGGGAGCAAAGGTGTTTAATATTTGGAATTGAAATTATTTTTCTTTTTTTTAGAGTACGTAACAGAAATGCAAAATAAAGAGACAAACAATGTCAAAACCTATTATCTGAATTTTCAGTTTGGTTATACATAGGTGTGCACGCATGCACTGTGTGCATATATGCATGTACTTTTAAATTCTTATCAGATTCTCACATGAATTCAGTGAGATGATTCAGTCCACGTTAAAACTTAACTTCAAAACTGAAGAACAGATACCTTTAAAAAGAAAATTCTCCTAACAGGGATCTTCTCTGCTATGTTAATGAATGGAGTACTGAAACAAAGCTTCTAATTAACAAACAAAGAAACAAACAAACCCAAACATAATTTTGATCTATTTAGATTAGAACCAACTGAAAAAGTCAAGAATTTTGCCTTTTTATGTCTCGGTACAACTGCTAAATCACATAGGTAATCACTGTGCACAGTACACCACCTATGATATATGAGACGCAATCTTTTTACTTCTTAGTAGGAATGAAAATGAGAGCTGAACACTGAATGGGGTACTAAATTCTTTAATCAGCTCTAGGTGTTGGAAGATACACAAACTTCTACAGCTGAAAAACAACAGAACTACTGATAGTGCGATAAATTCCCTGGTATTTCACTGAGCTATGTAATGCGAAGTAAAACCAACTTACTAAAAGTCTGCCTTAAGAATCATAGAATCATAGAATAGTTAGGGTTGGAAAGGACCTTAAGATCATCTAGTTCCAACCCCCCTGCCATGGGCAGGGACACCTCGCTCTAAACCATGCCACCTAAGGCCTCGTCCAACCTGGCCTTGAACACTGCCAGGGATGGAGCATTCACAACCTCCCTGGGCAACCCATTCCAGTGCCTCACCACCCTAACAACAAAGAATTTCCTCCTTATATCCAATCTAAACTTCCCCTGTTTAAGATTTAACCCATTGCCCCTTGTCCTGTCACTACAGTCCCTAATGAAGAGTCCATCCCCAACATCCCTATAGGCCCCCTTCAGATACTGGAAAGCTGCTATGAGGTCTCCACGCAGCCTTCTCTTCTCCAGGCTGAACAGTCCCAACTTTCTCAGCCTATCTTCATATGGGAGGTGCTCCAGTCCCCTGATCATCCTCGTGGCCCTCCTCTGGACTTGTTCCAACAGATCCATGTCCTTTTTATGTTGAGGACACCAGAACTGCACACAATACTCCAAGTGAGGTCTCACAAGAGCAGAATAAAGGGGCAGGATCACCTCCCTCAACCTGCTGGTCACGCTCCTTTTGATGCAGCCCAGGATACGGTTGGCTTTCTGGGCTGTGAGTGCACACTTAAGCCAGCTCATGTTCATTTTCTCATCGACCAGCATCCCCAAGTCCTTCTCCGCAGGGCTGCTCTGAATCTCTTCTCCGTCCAACCTGTAGCTGTGCCTGGGATTGCTCCGACCCAGGTGTAGGACCTTGCACTTGGCATGGTTAAACTTCATGAGGTTGGCATCAGCCCACCTCACAAGCCTGTCAAGGTCCCTCTGGATGGCATCCCTTCCCTCCGGCGTATCAACCGAACCACACAGCTTGGTGTCATCGGCAAACCTGTTGAGGGCGCACTCAATCCCACTGTCCATGTCAGCGACGAAGATGTTAAACAAGACCGGTCCCAGCACCGATCCCTGAGGGACACCACTCGTTACTGGTCTCCAGCTGGACATTGAGCCATTGACCACAACTCTTTGTGTGCGGCCATCCAGCCAGTTCTTTATCCACCGAGTGGTCCATTCATCAAATTGATGTCTCTCCAATTTAGAGACAAGGATGTCGTGTGGGACAGTGTTGAACGCTTTACACAAATCCAGGTAGATGACATCAACTGCTCTACCCCTGTCCATCAGTTCTGTAGCCCCATCATAGAAGGCCACCAAATTGGTCAGGCAGGATTTCCCCTTAGTGAAGCCATGCTGGCTGTCACCAAGCACCTTGTTGCTTTTCATGTGCCTTAGCATGCCTTCCAGGAGAATCTGCTCCAAGATTTTGCCAGGCACAGAGGTGAGACTGACTGGTCTGTAATTCCCCGGGTCATCCATTTTCCCCTTCTTGAAAATGGGGGTTATATTTCCCTTTTTCCAATCGTCGGGAACTTCACCTGACTGCCATGATTTTTCAAATATGATGGCCAGCGGCTTAGCAACTTCATTTGCCAGCTCCTTCAGGACCCGCAGATGGATTTCATCAGGTCCCATGGACTTGTGCATGTTCAGGTTTTTAAGATGGTCTCGAACCAATTCCTCTCCTACAGTGGGTCCAAGGTTTTCATTCTCACAGTCCCTGCGTCTGCCTTCCAAGACTTGGGTGGTGCGGTCAAAGCCTTTGCTAGAGAAGACCGAGGCAAAGAAATCATTCAGTACCTCAGCCTTCTCAAAATCCTGTGTAGCTAGTTAACCCGAGAGCTTCCTGAGGGGGCCTATGTTCTCCCTAATCTGTTTTTTATTTGCTATGTACCTGTAGAATCCCTTCCTATTATCCTTAATATCCCTAGCCAAGTTTAATTCTAACTGGGCCTTAGCTTTCCTAACCTGGTCCCTAGCTTCCCGGACAACATCCCTGTACTCTTCCCAGGCCGCCTGTCCTTGCTTCCACTTTTCATAAAACTCTTTTCATTTGAATTTTTCTCAGCAGCTCCTTATCCATCCAAGGAGGTCTCCTGGCCCTCCTGCTGCACTTCCTTCTGGTTGGGATGCAGCACTCCTGAGCTTGTAGCAGGTGATCCTTGAAGACCAACCAAGAGTCTTGAGCCCCCCTGCCCTCTAGGACTATATCCCATGGAATCTTCCTAAGCAGGTTCCTGAAGAGGCCAAAGTCTGCTCTCTTGAAGTCTAGGGCAGTGAGCTTGCTGCACGCTTTTCTCATTGTCCTAAGGAACTCAAATTCGACCATCTCGTGATCGCTGCATCCAAGGCTGCCCTGCAGTGCCACATTTCCAACGAGCCCTTCCCTGTTGGTGAGCACAAGGTCAAGCATGGCACCTCTCCTTGTCAGCTCCTCTGTTACTTGCAGAAGGAAGTTGTCTTCCACTCAATCCAGGAACCTCCTGGATTGCTTGTGCCGGGCTGTCATTCCAACAGATGTCAGGGTGGTTGAAGTCCCCCATGAGAACAAAGGCCTGTGAGCATGAGGCTTTTCCTATCTGCCTATAGAGTGCTTCATCCGCAGATTCGTCTCGATCAGGCGGTCTGTAAGAGACCCCCACAGTAATGTCTCCCATCACTGTTTTCCCTTTAACCCTGACCCACAAGCTCTCTGTTAACTGCTCACCTGTCCCCAGACACAGTTCCATACTCTCCAGCCTATCCCTAACATAAAGGGCAACTCCCCCTCTGCGCCTGCCAGGCCTGTCTTTTCTAAAGAGTCTGTAACCTTCCATTCCAACACTCCAGTCATAGGAGCCATCCCACCATGTTTCTGTGATGCCTATAATATCATACCCCCATAAACGAGCACACATCTCTAATTCCTCTTGTTTGTTCCCCATGCTATGGGTGTTTGAGGCATCTGAGTCGAGCTCCAAATGAAGCCGGCTCATTGGCTGGAGCAGGCGGAATATCTCTGCATTGCTCCGAGCATTTATTATAGATGCTGGCAAGTGACTGGGCGTGTTGGGATGGAACGATGACCCCCTCCCCCAACACATCTAGTTTAAAGCCTCCTTGACCAGTCTGACAAGCCTCCTACCAAAACTGCTCTTCCCCTTCTTTATCGGACCAGCTCCACCAGCCCCCGCTAGACCTGGTCTACAAACTTGGGTCCCATGTTCAAGACACCCAAACCCCTGACTGTGACACCACACTTTTAACCATTTATTAACCTGGCCAATCTTCCTAGCTTTTTTTAGGTCCTCCTCTGTATCTTGGAGAATAGACGAGAAGACCATCTGAGCTCCAGAGCCCTTAACCACCTCTCCCAGGGCTCTGTAGTCCTTCTTTATGCTCCCCAGGCTACTACTATTTATATCCCTACCACCCACAAGTATCACCAGAAGTGGGTAATAGTCACAACATACAACCAATGTCCAACTGATAGCAAGATCTCTGATTGAGATTAGAAACAGATAAAGATCCACCAAACTTCAAGAAGTTTTTGACCTGTAAACTGAACAGAATGCTTAAAAAGGACAAAATTTCAATGCTTTGAAGATCTTTGTAAGTGCTGAGTAGGAATCACAAACTGCAAAATAATTTGCAATACCTACCACAAACAGAATCCTTCTGTCCAAAGTAGGCAGCATCAAACAGATGGTCTGCAGTCTTTTCAAATGAAGCCAGCATCAACACACTTTCCTTCATTTTTGCCAGCCCAAACCTAGTAATACCCAGCACTTCACCCTGTATTGATGAAAAAAAAAAACAAAGAAAGACTATCAGGCACAAGTTGCCGAGTTAAAAAATGAGTTGCTGAGTTAAAAATCTTCAGTGGGGTCTGACAGCATTATGCTGAAGCCACTGCCTATTGTCTACTGATAAGACTGACTTAAGCTGCCAGGACACTACAGAAGATGTTAAATCTTCATTTTTCCACTCTCAAAAAAGCAAACAAACCAAACAAAAAAAACAACCCACACCCAAAACAAATCAATCAATCAATCAAACAAACAAAATTAGTTTTTTTAAAGTATTTCTGCCTCTGTTTCTAACAGACAACCTGATTGCAACAGACTGTGCACAGAAGCACAAGTGAGAACTACAGACAAAAGAGAACACGCTAGGAGACCAACAAGTGTAAAACACTGCACACTGTTGCCCTTTTTCACTATTGTGTCACAGCTATACACGGCCAGCCCTGGGGACTGCTGCAACTCAGTACAACAAAGCCCTACAGTCTGGGGTGAAGTCAGAACTCCCTCATCCATTTTACCCAAATTAAAGCCTTGCACTCTGGCAAGCGAAGTGGAAAATATTACTTCACTAAGTGCAATCAAATCTAAAAACCATAATGAATGTAAATAATGTATTTATGTAAATCAACAAAGTAAATTGATAAAGAACAGATATGATTTTCTACTAACAGTTCTGGAAGACTGTTCATGCTCTATATGTAGTCTGATTCTATTTCTGATTTCTGTATCTTTTGACTATTATGTACAGCACAGCTGCTGTGAACCACACCCCATGTGGTTTTCTGCACAGCAAGCCTTAAATTGCATGCATGGTTACCCAAACAGTTGATTTTCATACCACAATTTTTAGCATTCATTGTTCAAAATCAAGAGTCCCTACTCATTATATCAACTTCTTTTCAGTCAAAACAGGCCTTTTCCCCTCCACCCCAAAGAACTATATTAATTAAGCATTTTGTTTGATATGCAAACAGCAGTATTTGATCAATATAACTTACAATTCTTTAAACTTAAAACTGATTTCCATCTCCCTAGCTCACTCATTCTTCTCAAATATGGTGAAATTAGTCTGTATAATCAGGACACGTAAAAAAAAAAAAACAGAGAACCAACCTTGTAAGTCATTAGATCAGACAGCAACATAACATGTCTCCTGTCAATGCTCATACCATGGTTCACCATTGTATACTGAATCTCATTGATAATGGTTGTCCGAGCAGCTTCAATTCCTAGTGTCTTCTCTACCTACACAAAAGATTATGTTCGCTTAATGAAGAATCGAATGCTTGGAGCAAATACATTCCTGTAACAAATCCCATTTGATGTCAGATTAATACTTCATTTCCATTACTATCCCTCTGCATTTCTCTGTTTCAAAAATATTCATAGAAAAAGCTTTTTTCAAGTGAACAGTGCTGCCAATCAAACTACTCTTGTATTAATGCATTCTGACAACTATTAATGAAATCAGGCTTAATTAGATATCAACCACTGCATCTGAGCACAAACAAGCACTTGTAATAAACATGCTACAGGAAAAAAAACACATCACAGAACCCATTTAAACATTACCTCATAAGTGTTGTTAGAGGACGTTTTTGTTCCTTTCACTCCATGTGTAGCCATAACAGCTCGCAGATTATCACCTTCAACCAAAAGTTTGTATTTTTCCTTTCCACTTCGTTCATCAATATGAATGACAGCTCGGGAAACCTCTGGTATGCCTTGCACTACAACCTTCACAAATCAAAAAAAAAATGCTAGTAACTTTGATGTATACAGTAATGCAGTATTAAAAGGGTAACCCTCACCAGAATTCAAACCTATTTAGAAGCTCCAGTCTTTGGAGTAAATGCTGCATTAAAATACTTATGAAATAAGATTTTCTGCTCTTAAATACGCTAGTGCAGATGTGACATTCACACTGTACTATAAACCCTACACACTAGCTGCATTTTATATTTGATGCCAGATCACCTCACAATCAGACATGGGTCTCTCAATGGTGATAGATTCACACAAATGAAAAGGGCATCCAGCCAATAACAGAGATTCTCTTATCACTGTTTTTAAAACCCAAAGTAGATAGTCTTTTCGGAGATTCGGAGAGAGCTGCAAAAACTGCAGATACTGTCATGTGGTTGACAATTGTAGATGCAGCTGGAAGAATAAATAACTATTTCATGTAACTGCTGCATTTGGAATGCTTAAGTAAACACTGTAAGGGAAGTATCAAAGCTTAAATTTGATTTATTAAGATTAGTAACAGGGGCTTCATCTGTAAAGTAGTAGCATAGCAATCTAAGAGTTACAAACTCAGCCTATTTCACTGTCAATACTAACAAGAATTAATTTAGTCCTCCACCACAGAACCCAAATTATTACTGATTACCTCCCACAGAAGCATGAGACAACCTTTGTTTTTACCTTTGGTAGTTCTTCCTTCAGGGACTGCAATACGTAATACATTGAACTCTTGCTATTTTCACGAGGGGTCACACATACAACTGCTTCTCCATGGACAGCAACATCCCCAGGCTTTACTCTGAGTTTAGATATGCAAATAGAGTAGCGCACAGTCTCTGCATTCACCTGTGGAAGAAGTAAGCCAGCAAACATCAGGGTGTCTCTCTTCACATATACAAGTCGCTCACATAGATGCAACAGTCTTTCAACAGAATATAAAAATGCAAAAGGTAGAAAAAAAACCAAAAATTGTTACTCTTATAAGTTGACAAGGGTACCAGCCCATATGTTAACTGATGGACGGAAGTGACATCCTTGTATTTAGCAATAAAGGAATGTATGTTGTTTCCAAATAAAAGAAAAATTATCCACTTGACAATGAAAAAAGGAGGGGTTGTAAAATCCATATATAATGTAGCCACAGGACATCCTCTGTTCACCTTCTTTTTTAACTTCCACTGGTCTGATAAGTGTTTCTGAGATGGGATTAAGAGACACTTTGGATCTTACCCAAGCAACATTCTGCATAAGAACTGAACAACTCACCTCTAATCTCAGTAGCCTAATGCGCTCTAAAGACAGCTTCACAAGGATGAAGCAATCATCTGGAAGAAACACTTCCTCAATATATTCTGAAATCTTTAAGAGATAAGGATGAAATAGTTAGCATGTGAAAATTATTAAAATGCCCCATAGCAATTGGCTAATGTTTACATTATGTTGTAATACTACAATTTTTCCTACCTCTCCTAATAAAGTTTTCTCAATTCTTCCTTTAACTAGACGGGCAAAATCAGGATCATCAGATTTGTCCAACTGTGCTGTTATAATAGGGGTGCTACAAAGAATAAACACACATACACAAAAAAACCCAAACCAGTTAGGAAATGGCTCAACTAGATTACAGACAGCAATCTGAACTACAGCCTGCCTTATGGAACGTAACTCTTATCTAGAGCAGTATTTCATAAGATAGAGACCTTCAGCTTCCTCAGGTACATTTAAGAGAATGCTTTGAACATGCATTTACCAGCTTCAGGCTGGAAAAACAAGCAAACACACATGAGATTATAACACAACAACTAGTGACTATTTTCATGACATATACTATTCGAGTATTATTTAAGTATAGCTTCATGGATACTTTGGAATAGAATCATAGAATGGTTAGGGTATACTTCAACTACTGCTAAACACCAGAAAGTTCCACAATATATAAGAAACACCTAATGGAATATTAAACTTAATAAATAACTACCTCATTTGAGTTTCAGAAAAATAAAATTTCTCTGTTCTCTGGCCTTAAGTATCACTTAATTGGACAGACATTAGATTTTTCTTGCTTTGGTATTCCATGCATTCAGTGTTGTCTAATACATTACTGGGAACTAGGAAATGCTGTATCTTTTTCCCACCAGGTTTCACATAGGCAAAGGGGTAAAAAAACCCAAACCGAAACAATGTTAGTACCTAATAGCTTTTGAAGCATTAATGATTTCTTTGATTCTTGGCACACCCAAAGTAATGTTCATTGAAGCCACGCCAGCAAAATGGAAAGTCTTCAGAGTCATCTGTGTGCCAGGCTCACCAATGCTCTGTGCACAAAGAGCTCCTACTGCAGAACCAGGCTCCATCTGTGCCCTGATGAAGAAATTCTCCCGTTAGAAAATAAAGACATAGAACTCAGTAAAGTATAAAATCCTAAGCAAGCAAAGACAGAAACTATTCTCGTAAGTAGATGAGAAGTTTGTTATTTAAAAAAAAATAATAATAATTTATTTTTTAAATAAACAGGAGAAAGTTTAAGAGGTTGCCAATACTCAAGACTGATCTCATGCAAGGCAAGCAGATACCCTGTCACAAAGCTATTACACAGATCCAGTATAACATCCATAATAGAAACAAACTGCTTGTCCTCTTCCTCCGAAGTATCATGTATTCGATTCAGGATTCTCCATTCAGGAAAATCCCATATGCTAACATTTCCAAAACTCTCCTTCACGTGTTTAAGCCCTATAGACGTTTATTAAGTCTTCTTTAAAAAATTATTATGCAGATTGCTTTTTAATCAGAGCAAAATCCAGATATTAATGCCTTCTTGTTCTCATCTTATTCAAAAGCCCTATACTGATGACCTACATTCCCTTCAAGTTATGCATGTAATGTGCTCATTCCCACATTTTGTTTTTTTTCTAAAATTCATGTCCTGAAAGAACTGGTGGTCCTTACAGGACAAAACTCAAAGACCACTACACTATTATATCTGATTTCACAACGAGAACATGAGGGATGGTATATGTATAGATGGTATACGCCTAGAATTTGTTCAGATCGTAGAGTTAGCATTCTAAAACTTGCACAGAGTGCAATGTGGTCTGCTCTTCTAGAGCAAATGTAACCTCTGAACTTAAGGCACAATACCACTTCCTAAATGATTGTAACATAGCAGCTTCTTGCATTTTCCGTGAGGAACTCCTACCAAGTAAAATGGCTGTCTGACAGCGATTTAGGGTGTAATGTCTAAAGAATGAATTCTGGGTGACTGTAAAAAAAAATATTTAAGTAGAGGTTATTGTTCTCACTGTTACAACAAAAACATCACAGCAATTAGTTCCTTCCCACAGGTATCATCTTTCAGCTATCAGATCAGCATAACATAGTATGCTAAACCAACTCACTAGAGTAAAATAAGCAACTAATGTTTAAGAATGCTTAAGACAAACATAAGTAAATAATGCTAGTAACTGAAAGCAAAACACCTAGTAATTGTTTTAAAGTAGTTCTGTTAAGAATTTAAAATAGACATGAATTTTCTAGAAAAAGAAAAAATACTAGTAAACAATCAATGCAGGTGAGTGTGAGGCCACAAAACAGGTGTAATGAATGGCTTCATGCCAATTATGAAATCCAAGGAGTCTAAAGAAATGAAAGAACTCACAATGGATAAAGGGATGAAAGTATCCATACTATTACTACTTCGTTAGAGGCCAAGAATTACAAACAAGAAGCTCCTACAAGTGCATAGCAAATTCAAGAATATGTTAGCATGAAATGTGACATAACTCTTCACAGACTGTGTAGATCAAGTGTAATTATAATGATTCATATAGATTTAAAACTGATCTATTGAGACATTATTTTGCATGGACTCTTTAGAGGTATAGAACAATCTCCTGCAAGAGGGGGAGGAAGGGAACATGTGTGCCAATGAGTGTAAAAACGTGTTTAAACAATATCCTCTCTCACCTAACTCTGAATCCTATCACTTATGGTTTTTACGAGATTCTGCTGTCAAAACCATGTGTGGCTCTAAGTAGTAAACAGCTACAGAAGATAACTGCATTCACTATTGTTTCAGAAGAAAGGTGCCTAAAACCAAGCAGATAGCTTTGCATTGTCAGGAAACATAAAATGAAATATAAAGGATTTTTTTTCTAAAATATAAAAGGGAACAAAAAAAATGACTAAGAGTCTTCTAATGAAAAAATCTGATAATGATTCAAAACAGAAAGGTAAAAACCTTAGCTCTGTCAGACCTCTAGAACTGTCATATGAGGCTCAACTCTGCCTTAACAAGCCCACCTGTACAAGGCAATGCTGTTTCTTATTCTATATTTGTACTTCATTCACAACAGAACCAACCTTCATATAGTAAAATCAGTACAATGTACTTCTAGACTGCAAACAAAGTGAAGGAACACTAAATTGGGGGGGATAAATTAAGAAAATAGCAGGCTAAACACTTACCTCATGTATTTGTCCCTACAAGTCTCCAGAAACTTCTCTACTTGTGTTGGAGTAATCCTATCCAACTGATATAAAACTCTTGGCTGAAAAGAGAACAGGTGAAAAAGCAACAGCTTTCAAAGACTGAAAAAAAAATACGTAATTACTTCCTTAAGCTATTTACCTCTGTTGTGCCATTGTCATTAATGCCATACTTGTCCCTAGTCTTTTTTATCTTCTCAGAAACACCTTTGATGAATTTTTTGATTTCCTGAAATTACATTAAAACAGTAAGTAAAGACTTTGTCTTCATACTGAAGTCTTCAGCAGTAAGTTACTGACTTAGAGCTCCAAATGGAATGCTTACAATAATAAATTAACAATACACATTATGAGGAGAGGAACATGAACACTTAGACACACACATACACTAGAATTCAGCAAACCAGAGTCACTCTCGTATAACCACAAATTAGTAGCAATACATGAGGAATACTGTCCATGCTGAATAAAAGCATCCTTCCTGAGCATACGCTGAAAAATTAAGATATTTGACTTGGTTGATTCTGACTCTACCATCAGGGGAAAAAAATAATTAAAAATAAAATTGTATTTTCTGAGTATAGCAACACATTCTCACTCATTTCTCAGTATTCAAAATAAATTCAAGTGGAAAGACTGTGGCAAGAGAGGAAGTATATAAAGGACACCTGCTGGATAGATTTCAGAGGTTCAACATGTACTTTATTTGGGAGGAAAAATCTCTCAAGATTTCTATATACCTGTCAGTCTCTACCTAAGGTAGTTCAAGTAACGTCTCTATACTGTGTAGAGGTCTTGCAGATAACTGCATTTAACATGTAATAGGACATAAGCCTTTCACTCAACAGATTTACCCAGAACTACTTCTATCAGTCTTTACTGGAATATAAATTGAAACAATATTGTTAGAAAAATATCCAACATTTCTATGAAAAATCATTTGGGCATTATGGTTTGGATATAGATGTGTACACTAGATATCACAAAATATAAGGTCCAAGATTAAGCTTCCATAAAAGTGGACTCAGTGCAACTCATTACCGTAACACAAGGTTATCAAAACCAAAATACAAACAAGGAAACAAGAAGGAAGAGGAAATCCTTCCCATCTACTAGAACAATGACTTAAGAAAGCCTCCATGGAGAAGTGAATAGCTTGATTTTTTGAGTGCTTTTAAACCCTTTCCACCCCATTAGTTCTGCGTAACAACCAGCATGATGATCATATATATCACCTCTTCTTCAGTCTGTACTGGACTCCTTCCAACCACCACAGTAGCCCAGTGCTGAATATTACTCAGAAAATTGCATAAAAATTTGAGTGACTGGCTTTTTTTTTCTTCATAACTCATTATCAAATCTAAAAGAATCCTCAGATTCTCCTAATATCAACATTCTTACTGGTATTCAATGTGTTTTCAGACAGTATTTTATATTCTGTGACCACTAGAACAAGGTTCAAATGAAAGAACCAACAACAGAAGTATACTCCTGGAATGGATGCTTCAAGTTGTTTCCCCACTCGGATGACAACAGGATGCATTCATACATTTCTGCCCCCTGTGCCCTACAGTAAGCCATATTAACTCATGAATGAAGTATTTTGCTATTTTAAGGGGTTTGACCCTGAAATCTTGGCACAAAATTGGCAATTTATTTCCTAAAACATGTGTTAAGAAATAATGTGGTATTAGAAAAATGAAGAAATCTAGAAGTCTCCAACATAATAAATTGTTATATAACATTCTGAAATGTAAAAATAAAGAGACATTATTTCCACATGCTAGAGCCAAAAAAACGTGAGAAACAAATTTCTGAAGACCTTACTTTTTATTGTCAAAAGTTTTATTCATGCTCAAGAACTAAAAGAGGAAACTACCTATTCCTCTCAACTTTCAACTATGTTGGCAGTTTATCTAAACTATGGATTAATTTATGCTGCAAACAGAATGAAAATGCAGCTCACTCTTTGCTGAGCCTGCCTGAGTCTACGGACTGATCTTCAGTGTAACACAGTCCTTTGTGAGCACAGGAATATAATTTGCAGAGCAAGCTCAAGAAACCATCGCTTGTTTCACATTGTTTAAACCACGGAGTCTTTTAGTTTGGATCTGTTTCACAAAAAGGCATCAAACCAATTCAGTAAGATCTGACTCACTGTGGACCTTGTCAGCTACTGCAGAACCAGTGATTAGTGAAAGCAGCAAGCAGTCCAGGGTATAAAGCCTACTCAGTTGCATGTTTGCATCACATTTCCCAGCACTTAAGGTACCGTGATCATTTATACACATGAAGAGAATCTTCACAGTTAATCGGAGTGGTACAGACAATCCCACAAGATTCAGTAATAACTGCCTGAAGTTCAGGTAGACCCATTAGGTCAGTTCCACATATGCCAGCACAAGCTCTTTCCCACGTTTGCACCACACTTCCTAGCACTCATATTCTATCATCTCAAAAAACAATCCACAGAAAAATAAGTTTGTGTTATTTTTGTTCTTTTTTTTAATTATGAGGGTTTCAAAGATTTTCCCAACTTCAATAAGAAGAAAAAAAAAATAAATCCCTTAACTTCTATCTTAGCATACTCAAATACGTTCAAATATTAACACAGTTGAAACTGTGCCAACCAACAATCTCGCTTTTTCATCAGTTCAGTTCATGAAAGTGAGGGCAGAGTGCAGGCAGAATGAATGCCAGTCTGTTTGGAAGAGGCTATTTAGACATACTGTTTTCCTGGACAAGAGTGGATAATTACAGGTTCCATTATAGGAACCTCCTGGTAAAATAACAGCAAGAAGAAATATTTCTGTTCTGGAAGCGAAAGTGGAGGAAGAGATAGGATGACATCAGAAAAACGTGCTAATATCCCTAAAGGCTGAAGGAATGAATTTTAGAAAGGAACATCATCATGTACTAAAAAGAAAGCTTCCTCAAGATCTTCAAATTGAATTCTGAAGATTAATTCACGTGTCACAGTTTTCACCATTAAAAATGAATTGGGTAAATTCTCGTGATGAGTGACTACATTATAATTTAACAAGCAGTAACGTATATATGCTAATCAGTTACTTCAGCACTATGCATACAGCTTTAACTAAAAAGCACTAACGTTAATGCTCACACAGTGCACACACATGCTACATTACCTCATTATATTTTTCATAACCTGTCTCAGTTAATGTCTTCAAGGATGAACAGAAAAAAAAAAAAAACCAAAAAGAAAAGGAAAGAAGAAAATGTAGTAATATCTAAAATTTACAAATCTTAAGTTAAACTGATTAGCACCAAGGTGACGTAGCCATATCTGTGCTTCTGAAATTAATAGCAATTATTTCCCCGATATGTTTAAAAATATGTGAATCTCAAAGAACAACTTCAGTTCCAAACTTTGATATAAGTATATTGCCTTTTTTTTTTTCCTTTTAGAGATGCTGTTAGAAGTTAGAGCATATTTCAAGTATGGATATAATTGCTTTTTCAACTCTGCTCTGGCAATGGAATTGCAGATCAGGTTTATAAACAGTGGCTTATTATTTCTGTCACTTTCTGCTCTTAAGCACTCTGATCTACTAAAAAGAAACCCTTCAAAAGCAGGTCACTAAATTCACATTATTCTCATCATTGCCAGTAATCAGAAGGTTCATCACAATAACAACTGTACATGTCCAGAGGCAGGTTAATTCTACAGTTTTTATTCCTGTCTTCCAAAGCAGTCTGAAATATGGCTGCTCTCAAATATTAAAATTGCTTAATGTTCTTTCAAACAAATTGACTTCCACAATTCAAAGGGTAAGGAGTCATGTGACTGTTTACTCATCCTTAAAAAGCTCAAGTACTCCTCTGAAGATAAGCCCAGTCCAGCAAAGCTCTTTCATACAAGTGTTTTGCTGGTTTAGTATCATAAGCAAGATAAATAGGTTTAAGTGTAGAGTTCTATTACAGGAAAACCAGCAAATGAGTAAAAACAGACACTCAAAGTTGGTAATATCAAAGTACATGTACAATAATAGAGTATGAGATTCGCTGCGTGGTTCCTTTATACACAGAGTCATAATCACCTTGTTTCTGACATCCTGGGGGAAGCACATAATTACTGTAACATCTTGCTATGGAGAAATTCCAGCAAGATATGTCAGAGCAGCAGCACCTTCTACTCAGAAAATCACTAGATTTTTCTCTCATTTCTGATGTTCTTGTGGTGAACATGAACAACTACCATAATAAGAATTAAAATAACTATCCCTACCTCTCCACCTCCCAAAGGTGTACAAATACATTACTGAACAAACTACTACGCCTACTTTTAACACATGTTAAAACACAAGTTCAGCCATTGCTCCTACAGATTGCTAAAACACTATTCTCCTTAATTTATAAGGAAAAGTTAATCACTGTGTGATGAGGAAATGAGGTAATTACCTGCAGAAAACTGTCTCGGCAGCAAAGAAATTCATTCTTCTTCATGATGGCCTCAGCTGTTAACACCAATGCATTTTTACTAAGGGCTGGTTCACTATGGCATGGATATACAGCCTTAAGAAGAAAAAACATTTAATTCTTTACATAAACCATATGCACAAAAACTTCATTGAGTAACAGCATTTGTCAGTTCTGGTTGGGTTTTAGTTTGGGGGTTTTGTTTATTTGGGTTTTTTCTTTCTATATAATACTAGACTAATGGGAAGAGATGGTCCACATACACTTCTATTTACATGCATAAATCTGAAGGTATACACACACACATTTCTAATTCTATCAACTTATTACACTCACATTACAGAATTCTGAATACTTCTTTCAGCAAAAGGTATTTAGCAACAAAACCAACTACAAAACCAAATAAAATACTGCCCTTTAAACATCACTACACATCTGGAATTATTTAACACATCAAGCCTCCAACTTAAGAAACAGCTCAAAGAACATGAATGTCTTCATTTAATAAGGAATTACTTGGTGTAATATCAGTCCAACCTAGTACTCAACTAAGTAGTAAGTTATCTAGTGAGTTAGACACTAGGTCATAGAACTATGTCTAAACACAGAAGCAAATTCTGTTTTCAAAGCTTATACACAGTTCAGTCCTATTATATACATGCTGAATAAATGATGATCAGGCAATTTAAAAATAAATATTTCAATTGAAACAATTCTCCTCATAATTTACTACTTCATCTGCATGCTTAATAGTCTTTTCAAACTTCCAACAGATTTCAGTAAGCCTTACCCTGATATTGTCTAGAACTCGCTTGAATTCTAGCGGTTCATCCTTCCCTTCCATGGCTGCAGGATCCAAGCCATCTCCTCCATAAATAAACTGTATAATGTCACCAGTAGAACTTCTGACTGTCAAATCATACTGTGAGCAAAGATCTTCAAGGGATTTTACCAGCCGCCTCTGAAGGAAAAAGGAAGGGAAAAAAAAAAATTTGCAAGGAAAGTACATGGGAACTTTTCAAAAATAGCTATTGATTTGGATTATAAAAGTATAGAAACTGAGCTCAGGAAATAAATTTTATACAGTGATCAGCAAGCAAGCAGGCATGAAAACCTACTTTAAGTCATACATTATCTTTAGGGACTTTCTGTACATTCCCCAGAGCATGAAAGCCAACAATAACAAAATTCAAAGCAACAACACAGTTCTCCACATTTAGAAATTAGAACATATAGGAAAGCTAATGCTAAACTGCAAGAACCTACTACAGTCCAAGGAATTATTTTTTTTTACTGAGGAGAAAAATGGTAAAATAAAATAAATTCCATTTGGTTTTGTTTGTTTTGAAATTCCAAAGTCCAAGTGCTAAAATTTATTCATGTAGGTTGAAAGTTGATAAGGAAAAAAGTTTTGAAGACTGCTTATTATATATATGTATATTTTTTTACACATATGCAAACATTATTCTGTTAGCTTGAGAAAGAAATGGTCTAATTAGTCACCCACCCCAAAAAGAATTTATTTCAGTCTTTGCACATTTACTTGTCTATCTCTGACTGTGTGCCCAGTCCCAAATTACCCTGGCTTTTCCACTGCCTGTTACACCAGGAGGAGGACTATACTTAAAATACTACTTAAATATCTTTACTGAAGTCTTAAGACTGCTCATAATACAAAAAGCTTTGTTGGAGGAACATTTATTTCCACAAAAGATACAGCCAAAGACACTAACATCTTACAGAGCTTTAAGTCTATATGCCAAGCCTATATGCCATACTAAAAGGGAGCTTTAGCCGTATTTCTGTCATCCAGACAGTCTTTTTTTAAATAACCCAAACACAAAAGGATTTGTGTTTTATGCTTCTCATTGTTGAAATACTGTATCTGAAAAAGCACTCACAACTCAAATCTATGTTACAATGTATGGACAAACTTCCATCATTCACCTGGGTTTTAGGAACACATGCTACAATAGCACAGTAGTCCTCAATAATTCCATAGAACAACGGCTTATCACCTGTATTCAAGAGGAATCAGTTAAACAGAAGCATGTTATTGTACCACTGCCTGAGGTCTGGTTTACAAACCTCATGCCTATTGGAGAACAGAACAAAATCATGTATTTCACAGTATAAATTATGCTGTTAAACACACACATACCCAATGTATGCACTTCTCCCCCACCCCTCACCTCAACATACACATAAGAAACATCCTCCTTTTGCAAGGCTGACAAATCCCCTAACTCCACTGACAGTTACCTGCATATATCCAGTTTCGGCTGTTTTTACAGCTGTGTCAACCAGACCTTCTCGACCAGCCATTGTATGGAAAAAAAATTCAGTGGGGGTCAATCCAGAATAGAAGCTATTAGCAACAAAGCCTTTTGCTGCTGGAAGCTACAGAGAAGAGTGGGGGAGAAAAGGTTGAAATGAAATGAATGTTTTGTATGTGCATGTTACAGAAAAACATGTATGTCGTCTAAATTCCTTCACTGCATACATAAACAAAGCCATCTCAGGTGCATTTAGTTTTGAAATTCAACTTTTATATACTGATCCAAATAAAGGCTTCAAAACCCTTGCCTATTTCTTCCAAGCCAATGTGACAGACTTTCTTCCTCCACCTACAGGCCTTGTCATGCTTCTAGCCATTCCTTGCAAACACTACACACCAGCTTCCATCATTTTGGCCTCCCTTAAAAATTGCAAAAATTGGAAAGGCAATAAGAATGGTCACTTTGCAATAGTATAGCAAAGGTATTTGCAGTGCTGAAAACTACAAACCAGAGACATATAAGTAACATTCTTTTGAATGGTTTATTCTCACCTCTGAGAAGAGTTCTTGCCAAATGAACTTTATGCAGGCCTCCCTTCAAGTCAAGTAACACCAACCTATCACATAAACCAAGATACAGCCTACAGAGGTTCATCTTAAATCACTTTTTCTTGTTATTTAACAAAGAGTGCATTCTAAATCAGTAAAAAAGCTAGAGTTAAATTTAACTTTTACCTTCTCATCTAATCCATTAAGTATTTCTTCTTCTTTAATTTATTCAGAAAGGAAAATATTTCACGTTACAGAAGTTGAAATTTGGATGTTTAGTGACAGACTCAAGTGTCATGGACATCACCCAACACTTGAGTTATCTGAGTAACACACGACTGATGGAAAAGGTATCTCACTAATTATGTTAACAAGTGCATGAGACTCCTTATTGCTTCATGTGCAACAGACCTCAAGCATGAATGTTCAAAGTAGCCCATGATAGCAGTCTTAGTGGAAAAAGAAAGAAAAAGCAGCAGCCTCGAAAATGGTTGTTGTGGTTTAAGCCCACCCAGCAACCCAGAACCACGCAGCCGCTCACTTGCTCACTCCCCACCCTTTCTCCCCCACTCCCAGAGGAATGGGGAGGAGAATCAAAAGCATGTAACTCCCATGACTTGAGATAAGAACAGTCCAGTAACTAAGGTATAACACAAAACCACTACTGCTACCACCCATAATAATGATAAGGGAAATAACAAGGGAAGAGAATACAACCACTCACCACCTGTTGACCGATACCCAGCCCAACCTGAGCAGTGACCTGGGCCTTCTAGATAACTACCCCATTTTATATACTGGGCATGACATACTGTGGTACGGAATACTTCTTTGGCTAGTTTGGGTCAGGTGTCCTGTCTCTGCTTCCTCCCAACTTCCTCTCCTCCCTGGCAGAGCATGAGGCTCAGAAAGTCCTTGGTCAGAGTAAATGTTACTTAGCAACAACTAAAAACATGGGTGTTATCAGCGTTATCCCCAGGCTGAAAGTCAAAAACATAGCACTGCACCAGCTACTAAGAAGGAGAAAAATGACTGCTACTGCTGAGCCCAGGATAATGGTTTACCTGGCATGTTTCACCTTGTCTAAAGATACCAACACACATCAAAAAATTTCCCTGAAAAGTGTTATTGCAGTGAAGCATAATAGAAGAAAATCTCCAACAAATTATCTTCAGAACTCTCAAGAGAATCAAAAATGTATCATCCGAGTTACTGTAATTTTACTAAATTAGAAAGGTCTAAGGAAGGCTTAGCTGTAAATATTCAAGCTATCTAGACATCCTATGCCAATTCATAACACTACTGTTAACTCCCAAATCACCATACATGATACTTTTCCTTCACCATGTCCCCCATGTCTGGGGAGGGACTCTTCATTAGGGACTGTAGTGACAGGACAAGGGTAACAGGTTCAAACTTACACAGGGGAAGTTTGGATACAAGGAAGAAGTTCTTTACTGTGAGGGTGGTGAAGCACTGGAATGGGTTGCCCAAGGAAGTTGTGAACGCTCCATCCCTGGCAGTGTTCAAGGCCAGGTTGGACAGAGCCCTGGGTGACATGGTTTAGTGTGAAGTGTCCCTGTCCGTGGCAGGGGGGTTGGAACTTGATGCTCTTAAGGTCTTTTCCAACCCTAACTATTCTATAACAACACATACTATCGTCCGTCCTCCTTAAAATGGTTTAAGTCAACTTCTTTCTCTTTTCTTTACAGTGTATTGTAAACATATAGAATTACCTTGGAATGCTTCTCAAAGTGAGGCAAGGATCTGTTCTCAAATCCATCAGGAACTCGGGATCCACTGATAGCCTGCTGACCTACACAAGCAATCATCTGGGATATATTAATGAAGGAGCCTGAAAACAAAAAACACCTCACTCACAATGGAGGAATATCACTGCTCCTTTTGTAAGCTGTCTTAACTTCTACGAAGATCTGTTATTTACCTTCAGAATTTGTCAAAAATGCACTTAGGTTTGCAACAAAGAAGCTTTTCCGTTACTTGTTCTGTGCATTTCAGCATTTTCACAGAGACTGACAACGAAGTCTACAATATAGCTAATAACTCCTTCTAAACGATTTTTCTTTGGGTCATAGACATTTGTACCACCACTATTTAACTACAGTCCTTATACTATCCCGCCTTGTATTAAGGATTGTGCTTTATCCAACCATTGATCCTAACCTACATATTTCACTTCACAGTTTCTTTAAATTATTTGAATTAACTTTTAACTACCTGTACCCAACATGTACTTACTGAAAAGGGTCACTTGAAATCTATGCATGAATTTAATGTTGACTGTATGAAACAACCTATAAATACAAAGTATGTAATTGTGAGAACAGTGATGAAACAAGCAATTCACTACCAAAGTTTAGCTATCCCTACCTTTAGAACCACACAGTGCCATTATAAGGGGACTGTTGCTCTTGTCCAGTTCTCTGAGACAGGCACTGCCAGCATGATCTCTGATAACAGACAGTTCTTTGAGGATTAAGGCCTGAAATCCAAGATTTCAGAGATACAGCTTTTGTTAAAAATACCATACACAAACAGTACTCTGTCACTCCCAGCAACACCTTCAGTAGTCAAAGGGAATTCAAAATATAATAGAAGAAGAAAACTAGATGCTGCTTTGAGAAAAACAAGTTTAACTTTTAACTTGCTTGATTTTCCAATTTGCTGCAACAAGACAATGGTAGCCAGGAACATCACAATCTCTTTTGTCAGCAGCACCAACTTAAGCTAAACTAAGCACTTACGTAAGCCCTACGTCTTGCTGTACAAGAGATTACCTCCAAAAATTGTTACATCCAATTGTTAAGAACTTAACAACTGTATCGAAAAAAACATTCTAGGATATACACAAGTGTCCAAAAAGGGGAAGAATGGAAAAGTCTAAAACACTTCTTTCAACCAGAGTATCACTTCAAACTGAACAGCTGCAACAGTACTTTGTCACAGGGTGGGGGTTTTCTGGTCATTTGGTGGTGGTGGCATTTTTTCTGTTTGTTCTGGGGGTTTTGTTTTTGTTTGGTTGTTTATTTTTTTAACAGTAAAAACTAGACATCAGATGATCAATGTATCAAACTCGTCAAGATGGTCAATGTAAAACACTATTAAAGACAATGAAAGGTGTTCTTCTGCTGAATTCATTAAGTCCATGCCTGTAAGCTTTTGGCAACATTCACTGCTCTTCATCAAAATTTCTACAGAAAGAATTAAAAAAGCTCAGCATAACCGAATTCCGCCTAACTTTTGACCATTGATAAATGTAATTAATTCCATTCCAACTACCTATGTGATTTTATTCTCTTGTATATCACCCCAATACATCCAGCCAGGTGGAAAGGAGACTCTCAGTTGTAAAGTATTTAGCTAACATTTTTAGAAGCATACAAGCATCTAAACGTTAAGACAGACTAGCCTAAAGCTGCATACCTATTTGCATGTATGTTTAGGTTTTGAAAGACAACTTTGACCTTCACAGTTTCCAAGAATATATTCATGAAGTCTTTAGTCTAAATATATAAATTTTACCTCTAGTGTCTCTTCTGCAGTACAACCAGGCTGCTGCTGTAGCTTGCCAGTGTTCAGAGCTTCAATATACTCATCACATTTCTTATAACCAGCATTCAGGAGCTCATACTTAGCTTTTAGCAGGCCCTGCCCAGGGGTTACATCACCAATTCCAATTGAAAAGCCACGATTAGCTATTATTTAAAAAAAAGTATTAAAATTATATCAATGATTATATTAACAGCTTAATCTCATATACAGAAAACAGATTAAACCCAGGAAATATTATCATTGGGATTTATTTTTCCTCCCATCATAAGCACAATGGAATGTTTCACTATTACTATCAGTTTCACAACTAGTGTGAGGGGGTTTTTTTTGGTTTGTTTGTTTTTTGGTGGGGGTTTTTTGTTTGTTTTTGTTTAAAACTGTACATCATATTTGAAGCTAAATTATTGTTCAATTGTTCTGTTTCTGATTTAAGATACCATTTTTCCAGGAAATGTACTTACAAAGATAGACAGGAGCAAGCCTGGCTAGTCGTGACATGGCATCTGCAGCTTCTACCTGACCCCAGTCTCTCAGCAAGATGTAGAAGATGTTGTTCTTGGATCCTGAACCCAAGGTTCCTTTGTCCATACTACCACTCATTAACTCACTGTTCTGAATTGTGACATCTAGAAATAAAAAGTAACAAAAATTCATTGGTTTTCTGAAATATTACGTAAACTCTAGTACTTGTTTATGAAGCAGGTTTTTAAATAAAAGCTCTTTCCATTAGAAGAACACACATTTAACGTATCTGTAGAAATGTGTGAGTAAATTTGTAAGTGGAACAGCCTATAACCTGACTTTATGAACTCAAAATTTCTTTCCCTGCCCCCTTAGAAAAGCAACTGTATCCAATTTAAGACTTGTGAGAAACACTGTGAATAATCCTTCTTGTAAAAAAAAAACAAAACAAAAAACCAAAATAAATCAAAACCCAAACCCCCCCAAACAAAACAAAGAAAAACAAACAAACTTTGGCTTCATTAATCAGAATAAAGTCTTCAATCAATCTTATCTGTCCAGAAATGGTGTCCTCAACCATGCATAATAAACTGATGTTACTTATTTATAAGTAAACCAATATTATTTATATATAAATGAAGTAGTGCAACAAAATTTCAGAAGTGAAGTCACAGTTCTCTTATTCAAAAATTCTGACATTTAGTTCAACTCTATTACCTATGGAGCCACAGTGTGAATTTAGAAGACATGCTGGACTCAAATGTTTCTTGAATAACAGGCATATAATGACATCCACCTTGCCTGTGGGCGTGTACTCGCTGCCTCTTTTAGATGACTTCCTTTTGCTTCATCAGTAGCCTTCCATTTCAGGCACTGAATCTTCTTTGTAAGCTTTAGCCTTTAACTAATTAAAAAATGTCTTCTAGACATGAACTTCATACATATTTTTTCTATGAGAGTAGTACAATATATGCTCATCCTGAAATTCATTATGCACCTTTTGAAGAACTGGCATATGTAGATTGATCCAATTTAAGTAATTTTATGCAGAATGCTGTAGATGTCTGCACAGTGTACTCTATGCTCAGTATTTTCAATGTGAATTTAAGTAATCATCATCTTGAACCAGAAGTCATTGTTCTTCCACTTATTAAATACAATCAAAATGGAACACCGGGGCTTCTTAAGACTTTGGAGAACTCACAGAGAACTTTCTGAAGAAAGGAAGTGTTGCTTCAGAAATTAAGGGTGTTTTTCAGAACAGAACAGAGCCATCAATGAAATCCAGAAGTTTTCCACATCAAACTCAAAATGCAGAAATTCTTCCCATACTTGCTAAGATGAAAAGAGTAGAGTAAAGAGATGGCCTATGTTCACAAAGTGTGAACAGGACTGCTTTTCTGCCTTTCACTCCACATTACTTGTGCCACCAAGTTTATAACTAAATTCACAATCACAGAGCTGTGCTATAATCTAAAGAAAGGGCTCAGTTTCCACTGGCACAGTGGATTCGAGTCCTATTTGTTAAATTCTTTCTGACATCAACATTGCATAACAGAATTACTATACATCAATGTTTCCTCCCTAACTCTCACCTCTGAGCAACAAGGAACCAAGCTAACCCTGCCTGCTGAAATTCTTTTCGAGCTGTTACCACATGAATGTTAAACTAAAAACAAGCAAAGCCTTGCTCATCTCCTAGAGCCTCTTCAAACCTGACACTTTGCATTCCATCTGCCACTCTGACTTCCCTAACTGAAAGGGTACAGGTGGTTTGATATTTTAGGTATGGCCATCTTCCATATATAACCTGTATAACTCAGTGTGTGACTTGTAACCAACAGTAATACTAGCCCCTTTAAGTTATTAAATTTTTCCATTTGTCCTCTGCGCAGCCACTTCATAAGCTTTGATCTCTCTCTCACCTTCAAATACTGTGTATCATGACAAGCCTAGCATCACTCAAAAGATATTTTATTACAAGAAGACACCCAAGACATCTCTTTAGTGTGCATCATGACTTCAACTTCTGAGAAAAAAAAACCCTGCATAATTTAATTTCTCATTTCAAGAATACTTATGTGAAGCACTGCTTTAATTCCTACACTGAGCTCAATGGGAACAAACTCAACAAAACAATAGCTACATTTCTCTGAAGACTTCCAAAACACAGTTTTAGAAATGTCACTCACAAGAATCATTGTAACACAGGTCCTCCCCTCTGCCACAATACTGTTTGCCCTTGGTTCGTAGGTTGGCTTTTACAGGACAATCATCACTGGGCTTGAGAATGAGGCTGAACACCTGTTTTCCTGTCCAGAGTGTTACAGGCTTAGAAAAACAAAAAGACAAGAATTAGGATTACAGTGGTTATACTACAACTAGTAGTAGCAAGAACTGTAAAATTGTTTTCTATAACAGAAGCTTTCTGTACTGAAGTATACTTGTAGAAGTGCATAGTAGCATTCCTTGGAATAGGGAAATATTATGCACTTTTATGCATAGAAATCCACTGACTGCTGAGTGGTTATCCTTTACATAAGGGTATGCGCATATACTTAGAGAAACGTGGTCTATTGCTCCCTCTTACTGCCATGTTTCCCTTTCTGATTAGAAATAAAAAAAAAAAAAGGTGCCTTTGGTTTAATTTTTTGAGATTAAATTCATGTAATTATGTACTCCCCTCAGCTGTAGCTAAATATAAGTAACTGTCACAGCTTGTGCTAGAATTATTCATTTGGAGTGACAGCAGCAAAGAATCACCACTGTTGGCTATTAGCAAAATTTCATATCAGCTTATAAAATTCACATTAGATACTGCCCATAAATGCTCTGACCTTGTTTTAATACTAGTCCCTAGTATTTCAATTTCACTTTCTGAATTTCCCTATTATTATACTTGTTATTTTTAAATTAAATAAAACGTATAAAAATGCATATACCAGTAGAAAGTATTTAATACATTTAAAAATGTACTAAACTCTTTCCAAACAATACTGTTTGCCTCAAATACAAAATAAATCAAATACAGACACCCTAAAATATATGTGAATGAAGGTTTAACAGACCCTAATTGACTAAGTGATACTACAGCTCTCTTCAAAGTTTGTGACAAATACACAAATATCCTGCCATTCAAAATACATATTTTGTCTACATGATGTAAGAAATAAACAAACACAAAAAAAAAACCAACCCAAAACCAAACAGGAAAGAAAAATAAAAATAAAAAAATCACACCACGTAACACTCATCCTCTTTAACACATTGCCAGATTAACAACTAAAGCATATTATTTCACAGGTTTAATACCTCCAAAATTTGGCATATTGAAAGCTGGTACTGTTGAGCATTTCAAGACATTACAGGCACCCAAGAAATAAGGTAGTTTCTCCAGTATGAGTCTGAACAACTCCCCATTATTTTGAGCAGCCGGTAACAGTGAAGTTACTAAGAACAATGTATCTTCTTCTGATTGCTAAAAGCCAAGTGGTCTAACCCACTGCACCTGGATAGTGGCACGCTATGTTTGAACCCTGAAGGAACTGTGCACTTGGACTGCACCCATGCAAGTTTGACTTTGGTCAGCAACACAAACCATCAAAAGCCTTCCACACAGATTTCACCCTGAATTCTGATCCTTGCACTTTACAAAGATCTCACGCAAAACTAATGTCAGAGAACACAACTGCTTCTGCTCAGAACATCACCATGGGTCAAGAACACACAAGGCAGAAGGCCTTACTAACATAAGAAAACATAGTTTGACACACCTTCAGAATTGCTGGAGGTGGAAGACGAACTTTAATCTTTTCATCCTTGCCAACCAGGATAGAAGCAATAATTTGGCAGGCTTTGGCTCGATCAAAAAAAGTATCTTTTAAAGTAAGAAGATACGCACCTAGAATGTAAAAAATGATTAATGTGACAGACTAAAATAAGACTAAATTTCAAAGCTATTGCATGCTCAGGATCAATTTCATTCTAACACTAGTTACCTACTTACTATGCAAAAAGATAATAAACAGCTTCAGTTGCAAATCCTTCCCAGAGTTGCCTTTTTTTTTTCTTATTGCTCCACACAAATTTCTAAAACCTGAAACAAGTGCATTTCTACAACCTATTGTCTCTCTCAGACTCTATCCCATAGGTAAAAATAAGGCCTTGGCATTAATTTCTGTACGCTTTCTTCTTTGTATTCCCAAACATCATTTTCTGCCACAGAAACATTGTAAAACATACACAAAGGTAATAATAATTGCAGCTGCCACAGTAAACGGTATCAGAAGAGATTCTAAGGACGTCATATTCTAGACTAACAACGGCCTTACTTTCATAATGTCATTTTGACCTGTGAATAAAGCTTTTTAATTAATGTAGAAAAATTCTGGAAAAGAGGGAAGCAATTCTGAAGGAACAACTTTTAAATCACACAGTTCTAAAATAAACTTATATACATACCTGTGAGGAAATCTTGAATAGCAGCAATAAGAGGTTCTCCATTTCTTGGTGTTACCAAGTTTGCTTTAGTCTATGTTATACAAGAAACAAACAAAAATATGCATTTGAAGACACTGATATTCCATTTCAGAAGGAAGCTTACCATTTAATATAGATATTTTAGCAAAAACGGTCCAAGCTTATTCGAAATCAAAATAGAGCTGTCTTCAAAAAGACAGGAAAAGTAAACTAGAAGTTTCAGTTCACTACAGTCCATAAAAATGTATTGACAGTTAAGGAGTAATTTCAGAATAGTTACTGGCTATTACACGTTCTACTTCCAAAGCAGAATTTGCAATCAACTTCACGTTTGATAGGTTACTGTTCAAACGTGACAGTGAAAGGAAAAGAAGCTAGCTCTGAGAACCTGAGAAGCAGCAAAAGGGGTTACACTCACTCAAGGGAGCCACTGAAATATTGCATGGTGTGTGGTCCCTACTGATACAAAATAATTAAGCTAGCTTCTTCCACCAGCCCCATTTTCTTACATTTTTCTCATACTGCTCCAATTCATCAATCTCACCTACGTAGCACAGATTTCCTGAACTGTTCACAGGCCTGCACAAACACAAACCACACAGTGGGGGTAGGGTGTGGAGTGGGGATGGATACTTTTTAAGCTTGCAAATAGGTCAGCAAGCCAATACATGCTGCTGCCAATAGCTGTGTTGGCATGTTATGAAGTAGCAGTGGCATTCAGTCTCCCTAAAGGAGCAACGTACTGGAAAATCCTCATATTGATGCTACTGGCCCTACTTTCATACTACAGATCCCTATTTATCTACCCTCCCTTCTCACATTTTCCCCTGCTCTAAAAATCTACTGTTTCCTACTTTCTCTGACAAACTGCTTTTTTATGGTACAAGCATGCTATTGCTGCCTCATTTCCAGTTGGTCTGACCACTTGCAATTGCTGGGCTGTCAGACCAGAAAGTAGAATACGTATCTGTTTGGTAACAAAGTCATGTGGTAGCAATCACTAAGGACAGACAAGCAGAAACATACTAGTGACATTGCTTATTTAAAACCTGCAGTTTTTTTTCCACAGATGCTAAGTCTATTAGACTGACCTTATGTAACAGTCCTAATTTAGTATAAATTCCCCTTTGCAAAGCTTTTAGGCAGCTTCACAGTCACACAAGCTATACCCAGAAATCTTGATAACGTTTCATATTTCACATGCAAGTTCAGAAATATAGGGCTCGGCCCATCTGTCACTCGCAAAATCTCAACTCCAATATTATCTACCTTACCCCCATTAAAACAAGTGCTTCTGCTTTTGCTTCTTCTGTCTGAGGAAGATGAAGGTTCATCTCATCTCCATCAAAGTCTGCATTATATGGTGTACAGACACATTCATTAAATCTGAATGTCCTATGAGGTTTTACTCTAGCCTGAAAAAGAAAAACAAACCCAAATGTGATGCACAAGCAGTCAAGCGTGCTAAAAGATGAAAAGCCATACCCAAGTACTTCGTTGTAGGCTTCATCCTTTCTTTTTATTACAGACATGACTCAGAATTTCCTATTATAGATTTTAACTCAATCAAGAACTGACAGAAATTGTACTCAGGTTCTGTTATACAAATGCAACTAATAACTTTGAACATGAAGAATTTATACAAAGCATAGAACAAAACACACTTTCTGGACAGCATATCAACTATACAAAAATGAAACGTTTATGCAAGAACACACACAATTACAGCTTATAAACAGAACTGTCCAGACACACCACCCAGTTAAGCATCAATTCTCAAGCAAAAGCACAATAGCACCATACTCATGCTCACTGCCACAAAATGTTGCAGAAAATGCTGTTTATTTTCATGCATTTTAAGAGAAATAATAGCAAATGGAAACCACCTCACATTCAGGAAAGAACTACCTGTAAGTGTGTGGACTTACAATGTGAGCCATGATGCTCAGCTTATGAAGAGAGGGCTGCCGGTTGAACAAAACTATGTCACCATCTATAAGATGTCGCTCCACAATGTCACCAAACTTCAGTTCCTGGGCCATCTTTGCTCGATTTCCATATTTCAAAAATCTTATGTAGTAACAAGTAATAATGGAGTTGGAAGAAATAATGTTAGAAAGACAAAGACAATTGAAATCTATGCTTACAGTGCAAGATCTTCCATTAGATATTGGAGTATTTATATTGCAATAACTAGAAGACAAAACTGGTGTGGATTGAATCATTAAACATCAGCCCAGCTGCTATTTTAAATAATGAATGTATTTATGACATTAATTAACAAAGCTACAGTTATAAGTACAAGTAAGCAAAAAGTCTATTTATACAACCAAAGAACTTATTTCAGTTGTATCAGGGAGTATAGAAAATTTAAATCATACACTAACTAACTACAGATTAGCTACGCTATAAATACAGACAGTATAACGGGCCCCTAACTACCCGTTTTGTCTATACTACACCCTCTGTCATAAAAAAAAAAAACCCAAATGATCTAATTGCAGTTCATTGTCAATACTACGTATGCTTAAGTCCAAATATTACCTAAAAATAAACTAAACCAGATGTAATTTCTTTTGTTCCTACTCTTCATCAAAGATTCTAAACATAAATTTTAATCCTTGCAGACATAACTTTCACACAGCAGTAAGAACAAGTTGATGAGGAGAAATAAAAGGGAAATCACTGCAGATAAACATGATACCTTTTCATCTGTGTGTGCCTCTGCTGTATAAAGTTGGCTCCGGGATGAACATCAGGACCATTACAGACAAGTTTCCTCATAAAATTAATATTTGCTTTGTTCACCTGTTGCATAAAGATTTTAATCAGAAACAAATGAAACATGGTTCAGGACCTCTTGTTTTTGCTGGCGGCTTTTGCATTTCCAAATTTTAGGCACAACTGACAATTCCCCTCAGCCTCCAGCTGCTGAAGGAAAAAGGCAGGAGGAAATACAGGATGAAAATGTAAACCAATCTTAGAGCTGAACATCAGTGTGAAATTATATTAAAAATCTTGGAAGTAAGTTCAGAAATAAATATAGCCAACCACTCCTCAGACAGGTATACTAACAAACACGTGAAGCTATGTGTAAGTTCAAAAAGCAACAAGCAAAATTATTTTCTTTACATTACACCATATGCCTTCACAGCACCCATATATATTCATTTAGCAGCAGCAACTGAACTGGCTAAGTGTCACTGAGTGACATTTTAAACATAAAGCAAAACATTCATTCCCATTACATTCATTCCTTTTCATACTAAGGCTATAAATTAAGACAACACTGAAGTCTGGCTAAAATTAAAAAAAGGGGGCATAGAAAAAGTTTTGGTTCTATACTACTTACCTTTTCAGGAAAGGTTAGTATTTTAGCAACATGAATAGGCACGGCTACTTCATCTATTCTTAAGTTAGGATCAGGTGAAATGACTGTTCTGCCAGAGAAATCTACTCGCTTTCCAGACAGATTGCCTCTAAACCGACCTAACAAAATAAGCAAGCAAAAAGTTTTGGTTAAAAAATTGGTTTCAAAATGTTATCTGTTAAGACAGCACATTAAAATATCTTTCAAGGTACACCACTGAAGCATAATACAGTAGTAGTGGAGAGATGCTTTGCCTATATGTGGCTTTATTAAATTAAAAACAACTTTCTGGACACACCTTGCTTTCCCTTAAGTCTCTGAACAAAACCTCTGGTCCATTTTTTAGGTGCCATGTTAAGAGGAATTCCTGAGAGCTCACTATTAATGTACAGGGCACACTGTAGTTGAAGAAAATCCCAGTCTTCCATAATCATCTGCGTTTTGGCTCCTGATATCCTATGCTAAACAAAATAGTCACCCAGTTAGAAAACAAACATTACAACACATATTAAACTAGCAAAGAATTTTTCTGATACAACTCTTATTTTGAAAGTAACGATAAAGAAACCTTCATACATTGGAATGAACAAGCCAAGAACTTGGTAACACAATGCATATGCTACAGCATAAGGCCATTCACAAGAGAACCCAACCAAAAAAATTCTTTTGACTAGCATGGACTTAAGACAAATGCTCACAAAAATACATCTTTGTTTAAATTGTATTTTTTCCAAACTACTGAAGTTAAGCTAATATAACTTCACAGCCAGGAAAATCACTAGCAGATAATTTTTCAGTCATGGAAGAGTTAGTACTCTCTTGATTTTGTTTGCCTGACCAGTTTTTGAAAAGCCTGAAAAGAGTTCGTCTGGCAGAACTGCTCTTCTAAACAAGTGATAAATTGTCAAATTCACTTCTAGTCTCAATTTGATAACCATGCTAACTGAAACCTCATTTCTTATGAACAGATGGTGGAATAAAATAAGGAAAAAGAATTTACAGATTAGGAAAAGAGGAGGAAGGTCTACATGAAAAAAAAACAAACAAAACCCCAAACAGAAGCAAACAGGTATGATGTCTTCATGCAAGTGACCACTCAAAGTGTCATTGCCATGGAAGGGAAAAAAGAGATAGTAATAGAGAAAAAAGAAAACAAACAAAACCCACCCCCAAGCCAACCAACCAAATAAGAAACAAAACACGAGATAAGTTTACAGATCAGAACTCATACAAAAGAACATTTCCCATAATCCACCAACAGATCTCTAGCCGGTCCTATACTGCAAGCAGCCAGTCAGCCAGCTACATTTGAAGCAAGCTTCTTTCAGCAAAATACCAAATGACATAGTAGAGTACAGACCGCTTGCTAGATTGTAAGTGGTAAGAGAAGTAAAACCACTTGCTATATTCAATTCTAAGGCAACAGTCTCTCAGAGCTTGAAGAATGGCTCACCTTTTTTATTACATCATTGAGAAAAATTATCTCTGTCAGTTTCATTGTCAAGTCATCTTCATTGGTGCCAGACTTCAAGTCACTCACAACAGAGGGTCTGATACACAGCGGAGGCACTAGGAGTCTTGTGAGTATCAAATCTGAAGGTTTACCAGCTTCTGGGTTCATTAGAAGCAGAGGGATGTCTTCTGCTGGGATTCTTTTAAAGAGGTTCAACACTACTAAAGGGTTCAAGTTTTCCTGTAAAATCAATTGGAGAAAGGGGAGAACAAGCCATCACATAACAGTTTCAGTGCTTCCCTCCTCCTCTCATTTACTGTTTGTCCAGAAATAAAATATCTTAAAAAGACAAATAGATAAGACTATTCATGCAAACAGAACTCAGTTTTGGTCTATTTATTCCAAATCAGTACTTTCAGTGTCTCAGATAATAACTTGCTTAACTGTTTCCTTCCTTTTTTTTTGCTTATACATCAGTGTTCACTTCTCATCATGTTACTATCTCTAAAGAGAGTATTTCATACTTATTTGACAAAGCATCTCAAAACTTCTTACAACAAACTTACAGTATATTGTAATAATTTTATTTGTACAAACTCACACTCATTACAGTAGTTTCTAGACTATTTTTCAAAACTTAATTTCTCGCTTAGTACAGCTACTATTGCAATATAAGAAATTACAGATATTCACTACTTTTTCTGTCACATATATATCCTGAGATTTTCCCAGCCTGCAAAGAGCAGAAGGAAATAAACTGCACATTGCAAAGTTGAATGAGACAAAAAGGTTAGATAATTAAATCCTGCCTCTCCTTTACAACATCAAGTACTTCTGAAGGAAAAAAAAACAAAACGTAACATGTATTATAATCATCTTGAAGTGACAGTAAGCCTATATGTACATGCCTTCCTAGTTCTGAAGCATAACACATGAACACCCCTTTCTTTACACCATAAAGATACGTATCCTTACATGCTAAAACTAAATTTTTCATTTTAGCAAGATTAACATTACTGCAATAAACACAAACATTCTTCAAGTGTCTTTCGGTATATGAAAATCTTGGACCACCACAAGCTTAAGATGCTACATGGAAAACCTTTGAGGAGTTTTATTTCACACACAAAAACCATCAAACAAATTAGGTCATAATAAAATTCACCTGAGCTCTTCCCAATAAGGGTTCTACTTCTTTGTTATGTTCTATGGCAGTTTCAAAGGACTGTAGAAAAGTAGACAGGACTGGATCTACAACTTTCTTATTGGTCTTGTACTTTTCATGTATTATTTTCAACAAACCACACTTCTTCACAGTTCCTGAAAGCAAATAAAAATGGGTTGTTTTGTTGTTTGGTTGGTTGTTTTTTGTTTGTTTAGATTTTTTTTAGCAACCCAAAGCAAAACAAAAAAAAAAACCCAAATAAATGAAACCCCCAGAACTTAAAACAAATAAGCTACAGTTCCAAAACTAGTTAAACCTTCAACAAACAGAACAAAATAAAACTTCATTAGCTTTATGTTTCCTAAATTCAGAAAAGAAGAGGACAATCAGGTCATGTTTCCTTGCATAACTGGCTTGGTGTGCATACATTGTAATGTGGCTTCTGAAGCTGAACACAGGTAGTTTTGCCTACACTAATTCAGCTTTATCTCAATTACAGCAGGTATTTTTTTTAAAGTAGAAGTTCCCACACTAAACCCAAGACTAAGAAGTGCCTTTTTACATCATCCCACTGTCTTCTAAAGTAATTTTGAAAGCGAATTGTCAGAAAAATCTGAAAAATATTTTCATGTCATGCAGGTAACTTTATTCATAGAACTTTCACAGACTAGTACAAGTGCTTTCCAACCTCTATTTTTACTGCAGTATGTTGACCTACCACATAATTTTGTAAATGCCTATTGTTTGTGCCTCCTACATGTCGCAGTGGCACTTGGAACGAAGCAGCTTGTTCTCTATTCAGCCTGTTGACCAACACCAAATTTTCACAAGTTAAACCCGAAGTTTTAAATTATGAATTAACTATCTACTGTGAAACTGCAACACTGTAAGTCCTTTAACAGCAGAATAACTTTATCACTGTACACAAGTGAACAAAATTAATATATTTGGAAAAACAAAGGTGATTTTTTTATTAAGTTACTCTGCCCTGAACAACAAATTCCAGCATAATCCAAGATCATCACAGATCAAAAAAGGCCAAACTGCAGAACATACCTTCCTAGAGGATGACAAGCACAGCTAATGTTATGAAAGATAACTTTATACAATGATGAAAACTTAAGTTCACTCAAAATTAGAAAGTCTATGAATACTTCTATGTTAAGGCACTGATCACTGACAATAGCTCCCAAGATGTTTAAAAACATGTAAAATGGGTATTTTTGCCATTATTCAAGTTTCAAATACTGGCTACTGCCATGAAACAAAACAAGCAACTAGGACAATGTCTATATCCACATAAATGAGATGCAAACAAACATAACCTGACATTAAGAATGCCATTACCCATTTCTTAATGAAAGCCAGAGAAAATATCCACGAGCTGTGGAATGAATAAGCACATTCAAGCATATCTAATAAGCACATAATTTTGATGCTGCCAAGGTAAAGACTCACAGTAGACAACTTCACTAACCGCTAATGTCAGCACTCACCATTAAAGGCACCACAATAAGGACAAGTGTTCTTCTTCCGGCACTTTTCAGACACTTTCTTTTTTAGTCCTCTCTTCTGAAGATATGTAAGGCCAGGTCGCTTGAGGTAATCCAAAAACTGTTTCTTTTCTTCCACTGACAGCATGATACGGCAACAGGTTTTGCAAATCATCTTAAATGTAAACACACATAAACACAGTTGTTTAACAGATACATTCACCTCTTCTACTGTAACGTAGGTTCTTCAGTAGAGTGCAGTTTTTTAAAATGAAATAATATTGTATGGTTGAAAGACCAATTCATATACTTTAACACACAGAAAGGTACATGGGAAAAAGAAAAATCCAGTCTATGAGACAAATCCTTATTTAACTTCTGCATGATCTTAAAAATCCATACAAAGAAAACAGATTTGATTGACTGGAATGTCCTAAAAGGCAAGTTACACTGCATACACTGAATTCAAAGTACTAATGAAAAAGAACAGATTAACCAGTCTGAGATGACATTAAAAAAATGGAGGTAGTTACTTCACTAAATCGGGTATTTAAAAACATCTATTTCATAAAATACAAGGTATGTAAAGTTTATAATACAACCTTAATTTGGTCTCCTCAATTCCCCTTTGAAGCATCATCTTTCCTGATAATTTCCTTTTTCTAGGCTAGAAACTGACAACAAATCATAGTTCACGCTTACCTGTAAGATGCCTATCACAGCTTTGAAGTATCCAACATGAAAACATGGTAGTTCCAAGTCAATATACCCATAATGACCTAAACAATCAGCTAGATTTTTTCCACAGGTTTCACAGGGACGGTCTTTTTCACTAGTTCCCTTTGTGAGAAGAGGAATGTACACACAGAAAAACAAAACCAAAACACATTAGTGGTAACCCAACTGAACACATAAAAAATACAAGAGTTTTTAAGCTAGTCAAGTGTCCTCACAGCAGACCCACTCCTTTTTCCCTAGCATCAGAATCATGGAATAGTTAGGGTTGGAAAGAACCTTCTGATCATCTAGTTCCAACCCCCCTGCCATGGGCAGGGACACCTCACACTAACCCATGTCACCCAAGGCTGCATTCAACCTGGCCTTGAACACTGCCAGGGATGAAGCATTCACCACTTTCTTGAGCAACAAATTTCAGTGCCTCACCACTCTCACAGTAAAGAACTTCTTCCTTACATCTAATCTAAACTTCCCCTGTTTAAGTTTGACCCCATTACCCCTTGACAACAGCATTACACTCATTCCAATGCAAGGATGTCTTCCACACACAGCCCTTACAGATGTCAGAGAAGTTATTGCAACTTGCAACTCTTGCAACTGATCTACAGCCCACTAGTCTATAACATGGCATTTTGTAGACGGATGTCCCTGACTCTCCCAATAACCTGGCAGGAAGAACTTATCACCTGCCTCAAAAGGATGTTTTGCTGAACTCTCCAAAAGCATGAAGAAAGTAGCTGCCACTGCAACTAACACTGTGTAAATGAAGCAAAAACACATTTACACCTATGCTGGATGAGCAGTAAATTTCAGCCATCCCAATTTATTTATAATAATCTAAAGTAATTCTACAAAGAGGGTATGAAAAAAACCCAAAAACATTTCTCACCATGCGATGGTCAAGTACTCCATACTGCAGTGGAGAGTGGTGGTTGTCCTGACTATACAGGTTTTTGCTAACAACTTGTATGTGAGCTTGCTGACGCATCTCTTCTGGAGATTTCATGCCAAAACAGATGTGGCTTCTAGAACGGGAAATTTCACAAATATGTATGTTCACATATATAGGCAGAAATACTTTTAACTACGGACATACATACACGTATATATTTAAAAGCAATACAGAGGTGGCTGATTCACAATATTGCTGAAGCAGGTTCTTCCGGAAGTACTTTAAAAAATGGTGCTGTTTGCAGCCAGTTTGTGTTTCTTATCTAGGATATTTTGGGCAGCCCTAGAGTTGTGTCCGTGCATCCTCTGCCCACTTCACCCCTTCACCCCTCCCCTCCGACCCTGGCCAGCAGCCCGAACCAAGCCCAACAAGCAGTGCTTGTAACACCACAAGCCGTACCACCACTCATGCTCCGCTCCCCGGCACACTAAACTTCCTAGGACCTTCTGCAGCGGCGGGGGTTCAGCACCACAGCCGCCCGGCCCAACCCGCGACAACAGCTGCTCCCCTGGAACTGCACAGCCCCCTAACTTGCCAGCCGGCTGCGGAGCGGCCGCCCACAAGCCTCCCACCGCGCAGAATGCCCCACGAACGGCCCCACTCACATCTTCTTGGCCACATCGGTCTCCCGGAACTGCTCCTTCACCATGGTGGCGATGGACAAGGGGCTGCGCGGCCGCGTACCCCGACTCTCACCCTCCGGCGGGGCAACACGCGGCGGCGCAAAGGCGGCCCGCCCGGCAGCACAGAGTGTCGGGGTAGCAGAGCTGTCTCTACTTGCAGCTGGGGCAAGACTAGGGTCCGCCCGGTTCCTTCCCTGGAGGAGGCCGTCAGAGCCTCCCCGCTGCCAGCAGCGCCGCCTGCGCCGGGCCGCCCCTCACGGCCAGCCCACACACTGACCTACAGCAGAGCCCGCTAGCACTTTGCAGCGCACCATGGTACTGATACAGTCCGGCCACCACCACTGCCCCCTGCGCTGCTGCCGCCTAGTTCACTTCAGAGCTCTGCAGTGGGTTTCCTCTATCGCAGTCCTGTCCCTGGCCTCCGCCAACAGCAGCAGAAAGAGGCGGGAGAGGACAACAAAACCAAGCCGTCAGCAACACCAATACGCAGCGGGGAAGCTCGCCTCGCTACACAGTGTGGAACCAGCCTAAAGACAGCTGCTTACCACCTCAGTGCCCGTCAGAAACACACCCACCACCCGCACAATTTTCTTCCGGGTCTGGCTTTGAAACAGACACCCCATACAAAACTCCACCCCCTCTAGAAGGACCCCTCACTGCCTTATGATTGGCCGTGACTAACTCCGTCCTTTTTCTTGCTTGCTAGCAGGGAAGCCGGTGTCAAGATGGTGAGTGCCTGACGGGAAGTGGGGTAATCCGTTCTGTACTGCTGCCATCCTGTCCCCAAGGGCCCCCCCAGCTGCTGGGCACTGCCACGCTGCTCTCCCCGTAGCGGGTTGTGGGGGTTTGGTTAAAACTCAGTGGAGGCTTGATCCACCGCGTTGAGGCAGGACTCCCGCGGCCTGGCTGAGGTGTGCTGCGGCTGGTCCACAGTGGCGAACTGCGGGGTGTGGGCCGGGACGCATGATTGGTCTGCTGCGTGTTCATGCTGCTGACCGGTAAGAGCAGTCCTAGGCTTTGATAGGAGCGTAACATTGTGTTTCTGTTTCAGTGTTAAAAGCACTCGTGTTTTTTTATGTACCTATCATACTCGACTTAATTTTATGCCTGTTGTTTGAAAGCATTAAGGAAACAGTAGCTTACAAAGTTTTTTAAAGGAAATTCCTGCATTAAGGAAGTAGTAGCACAGTAGGTTTGTTAAGGAAACTTCTGTATGGTGCTGTGTTGCTTGGGGTTGTAATCTGTGTGTTTCATTAAAAGCTGCTTCAGATTTTCAGCATGGTAGAGGTGTGTTGCTGTATTGCCTGGAAAGTGGAGGTGAGTTTGTCAGATTTTCAGTGTGTAGATGTTTTTGGTAGCCCAGGATCAATCCATCTTTGGTTGGTAGTTTACTGTCAGTATCCTGAAAGACTACTGGCTGTTGCTGCACCTCTGTACTAAATTTGGATTGCATGTGTAACTATTGCTTTGTTTTACTTTATCATCTTTTGCAGAATGACACGGTGACCATCAGAACCAGGAAGTTTATGACAAACAGGCTTCTTCAGCGCAAGCAGATGGTAAAATAATACAGAAATTTGTCTTTAATTATGTGTCTGTTGATTTTGGGCTGCAGTTGGGTTTTAGCCATTGTAAGTAAGCGACCCTTAAAACCTCCAGAAATCTTGTTAGAGCTTATAGGTTTAAATATGTTGATGTATACTGAGAGTAAGTCTTGATGATCTAGAGAGCTGTATTGTCATTTGAAGTTGTGCCAGGGAAGGTGTAAACTGGATATTAGGAAGTTTCTTGACTGAAAGGGTTGTCAAGAATTGGAACTGGCTACTCAGGGAAGTGGTGGAGTCACCATCCGTGGAGGTATTCAAAATACATGTAGATACGGCACTTAATGACATGGTTTAGTGGTGGACTTTGCAGTGGTTGGTTGGATGTTCTTAAAGGCCTTTTCCAGTTTAAGTTATCCTATGAAGCAGAAATCTTAAGAATGCTTTTGTATCAAACTAATAGTACTCCTAAGGTAGAGTAGTTTAAGTGTTAAGCTTGTGGTGGGGCTGTAACATGTGGCTGTTTTACTGGATAGTAACCTTTTATGCAACTTGTAAACCTTTCTTCTTAGGTGATTGATGTTCTTCACCCTGGAAAGGCCACAGTCCCCAAAACAGAAATCAGGGAAAAGTTGGCAAAAATGTACAAGACAACCCCTGATGTAATTTTCGTCTTTGGCTTCAGAACTCACTTTGGTGGTGGCAAAACAACTGGCTTTGGCATGATCTATGATTCCCTGGACTATGCAAAGAAAAACGAACCAAAGCACAGGCTTGCCAGGGTAGGTTCTTTTCCAGTAACTTGAAAACAGTGAGGATGAATTTGAAATTTTTAGTCATTCGTGATGTGCAGATATAAAAGCTGAAGCTTTGTGGAAGTACTGTTGGCACATTTGGAGTTATATAGTTCTTAAAGTAGCATAGTTTCTGCTTGCAGTAAAGGTTAATTTTTCTTTATTATGTACTATAGAGGAATTGGGAAGGCAAACCTGATGTTACCAGTGTTGTTTAGTAGTAATAAATAACTGACCCTTATTAAGGGTCTTGAAGAAGGATGAGCGATGAGGCTGATGCATGTGCTCTACTTCAGTGCTTCTATTCTGTGTCGAGTAGCTCATTAAGTTAGTGAATTTGTCTCACTATTTAATTGAAATTTTAAATTTGAAACGTATTTGAAGAGTTGAGAGGTGGAACTTAAATTCAGTTAGTATCAGTGAAGCAATGTTAAATGCAACTTTTAACTGTTTTTTAATAGCATGGCTTGTATGAAAAGAAGAAGACTTCCAGGAAGCAGCGAAAAGAGCGTAAGAACAGAATGAAGAAAGTGAGGGGAACAGCCAAGGCAAATGTTGGTGCTGGCAAGAAGGTAAGATGAGAATATCTTTAAGCTAGAGTGGGTGTGTTGCCTGTGAAATGTTGATCAGAAATTCTTCAACACATTAATATTATTTTTTTTCCATTTCTTTTTACCTGTTCTACTGGATAACAGAAGGTAATCTGTGTGGTGTCGTAATCAGCTCAGTAGCTTAGTTTTCCTCCTCACTGCTTCAAGCTTAGTTGATATAACACAGAACAGTGCTTCTTAAGTGATTTGTTATGTGTCACTTGAGCTAAAGTTAAACTTTCATAAATCTAACAGTATTGCTCTAATCACATAACTTAGTCTTGCAATACACAAATTAGATAATCTTAACACTAGTTACTCAGACTACCTAGATACGTAATGCTTATTCCACCAAGTTACTCCACTGCAAGTTACTCTAATTCTTATTCCACCACTGCTATTTCTGGCGTTACTTATAGAGAAGATTTTGTTAAGAATATGTGGTGATGTAGGCAGTGAGGACTGTATATAGATAAAAAAAAAGGTAGAATGCCACCTTTATCCTGGGTTTAAGTGACTGATTCCCTAGATAGTGGAGTTACCCTCTGGTGAGAGCTTCCTGTGCTGTGTCTGGAACTTGATACAAGTAGCTTGAAGGGAAGCAGAGTTCCTCTATCATTAAAACAAAAAGTCCACTCAAAGTAGCCTGAATGTGAAGACAGTCATTTTCTTAGCACCTTTCGTTGTCTGAAAAATATTGAGTAAGCTGTGCACCTAAGTAGGTTTTTAAAAATGTTTTAATGAGGGGAGAGAGTGATGTGTTTTGATCCTTATTTCTGTAGCTGTTTAAGTGCCTTGACAATTTGAATTTTCATAATCCTCACCTTTGCTTTTTCTCTACTTTCTTGGAATTCTCCATCAGAAATGAAGTATCTAGCAGGTACTGAAAAAGAGCATGGATGTGGTGACTGAATTGTACATCAGTGAAACGTGTGTCCATCCTTTTGATCAAAGCACTGTACCGCCTTGCATACATGCATGTTTGCTTTAAACTTGCTTCTGTCCTGTAAGGGTTCAGATAACCACATGAGCTTTATCCTGTGCGATCTAGAAATAAGATTTGGCTTGTAATGAACAAGACTTTCTGAAAGTAGTGAAACAACATTAAAATAAGGAATTCTCAGAAGAAATCCAGGAAAGTTAAAGCTACTGATTTGAGGCATTGGTTTAGAATGCCCCAGGTTCTGATTCAAAGTAGTACAGTGCAATTGCATGTGTAACTTGACCTTTTGTGTGAAAGTAGATGTGCATTGTTATGAAAACTAATTCACATTACAGTTTAGTGCATTTGAAATGATGACTGGAAACAAGGCAGTTGTCAGCATTAAATTTATTTAACTATTGCCATGCAGTATTCCAAGTTAAGAAAAATTACAGTGAAATTGGAAGTCTCTGAAATTGTATTCTTAAGGTCTAAGTGAAATTCTTGCCATCACTGGATGGAAATAAACCAGTGCAAACTACTAGATGAGATAATTTCTATGCTAGATAAGATTTGGAGACTTTTTTCCTTTCTAATTTAATACTGTTTTGAAGTTACACAAGTGCTTACAGTATAATAGCAGAAATTAGCACTTAGTATAATAGTAACACTAATACACATCCTCTTATCAATGTCAAGGGAATAATTTAATGTTGCACTGATACTGGTAGTATGGAGGAACTTCCGCACTTTGAGCTTTTGCATTTGAAGGTAGCTGTTCTTAAGCGTTAATGCAAAATGGTCAAATGACTGTCCTTGAATTACTGAAGCCAATCCAGTTCATCGAAATTCTCTTAAACCATATAAACACTTCAGAAATTTAAGGTCAGGATTGCAATAATTATAGAGCAGATATGGCTTCTGTGTCAAGTGCTTCTGAAACTAGCATGCAATCTCAGTAGTGAGTTGTGCTTTGATTAGAGGCTTTTTTAATGCCTTTGAAAATGATCTTTTAGTTGATAAGCATGCATGGCTTAGATCTTGTTTACGATTTTTGATAGTCTTTCTGTCCTCACATTAAAGATAATTTATTGCTTTCTGGAAAGCTTGATTGAGAGAAGTTGTGTGCTGTATCACAGAAAAAAACTTGTGCAATCCACTTGCATGTTAAAGCTTTGTCTTGGAAAAATGTATGTTTAAACAAAATGATGTGACCTCCTTTATCACAGCCATGTGGAGGATTTTTTAATAGGAGTCCAGGAGTATGTTTTGGAGTCCATGTG